TAAAAGGCAAAACATAAATTGTGTAATAACTATTAAAATTTAAAAGAGGATTTTAAAGCCAAACTTCCATTAAGAAAACTAATATATTTGCACTTGCATGAATAGGTTTAAATCTAAATGGACCTTTAGGGTGATTACTTCTAAAAATATTCTGAGAGGTTTTGCCTCAAACTTGGTGATGGTTTTGTTTGTTTGTTTGTTTGTTTGTTTTGTTTGGATTTTTCAAAAGTGTAATATTAATTTATGGAACAGTTATGCTGTGTCGTGTATATTGGTAGGATGTGATTCATGAGGTAAAGACAGTGTCAAGGCTTCCCTGTAACAGTGTTGAGAGTGAGAGGATTATAACAACTTCATTATAAAGGTGTAAAAAGAGTACGTCTCTTTTCTGGCAATACTGTGACAGGAGAAAAAAACAAATCCACAAGCTGAAAAAAATTTAGAGCACTGTTCTAACACACCCTAAAATATTTTTTACCCATGTAAGTAAGCAAACAATTGAAGTAATGAGACTGTGAACAAAGAGGAGCTAAAACTAATGTAGGAAGTGTTTTTACCACTGGCAATTCAGAAATGTTTACACCAGATAACTTGTAAAATAAATGGAAAGGGATTAGGGTTACACTGTTACTTTACTAATTGATTTAGATGCTAAAACACTAACTGTATATAATATTATATATTGACACACTGACACTCTTTTACCCCAGAATGATAAGGCTCTGTAATTCTGAGAGACAGTAACTAATAACAGAAAAAAATGTTGATGTCACCCAAGACTTTAGATGATTGTCACCTATTTATATTTTATTTGCAATTATACTGTCCTGAATGGGTGCTGTTAAGCTTTTTGTTTAAATAAGTTTTGAATTTTGTCTTATAGGAACATCACATTAATATGACAGAGGTCACGTAAAAAGACTACAATTTTTAGGATTCTTTTGGAAAGAAGTAGTTTTCATTAAGAGTATTTACAACTTGAGCTGTTATTTTAATTTGAATTGTTATTATAATTACATTATTATGGTTACATAGGTGCTTGATGATATTCATACATGATGTCTTTTATTTCTTTTCTTTACAGCAAATTAAGGCGTGGGGATCCGTTTACAGATATGCAATTTCTGTGTTCCCCAGTCCATAAAGTAAAAAATAAAACAAGTTTTAAAAGTAAATCAAAATTTTTTTGAAGAAGACAAAAGAGTTTCCTCTATGAACAATACTTCTAAAATGGGTACAGTTGTTTCTGTATGTATATATATGTTTAGCAATATTGAGTGCTTGTTGTTCTTTGATTAGTAGAGGTCTTCCAAAGTGAAATTTTCTGGAAAAGAGTCTCTATATAAGGGGCACAGAATACTTCACTGAGAAGGCATTGACATGTTAGGTTCCACTCATGTTTTGCATTTCTGGTCAGTAATTTATAATTTCTTCAAAACGTTTGCAGCACTTCTTAAATTGTAAGAAAAGTGTATGTTTTAATGTAAATTAAAAATAAACCAGCTTTGGGAATTTTAGTGTGAGTTTTTCATATTTATTTTGAGTAGAACTGTTTCTCTGTGCTGGCTGCAACAGACACATGCATCACTAATGTTGATAAATTTATTGAAATAGATGGAGACAGTCCCTTTCTTTTGATAGTTGACTTTGGGATTTGACAGAATCATCCTGAAATTTGAATAAGGAAGTCTCACTGAGGAATAGTGGAGAGAAGTCTGGTGTCCAGGATACGTGCCAGAGGCAGCCAGGAAGAAAAGATCACTGCAATAGAAATTCAATAGGGAATAGGATCCAGACAAAGCAACACCTTGAGTTTCCAACTGAGAGTGCTCGTGTGATGAGTAATACAACCACATTTACCATTCAGCTGTCAGGGTTCTGTACTCCTTCCCCCCTGAATTGTCATGGATAACATTCTGCATTCCATAATGAGCTGTCAGCAGACAAACAGCTTTCTGTCATTACCTCATCTGCAGATGTTGCCAGCTGCAGGCTACAGCCCACACAACTTTTACAGATTACAATGGATAAAGGTTCAGGTTAATTTTGTAACTAAGATAGCCAGGGCTGGTTTTTAATGAGATATAAATAAGTTAACTTTTTTTGGTTACAGATGGTGGTTGTTCATGCAGTGTGCACTGTATGTCATTGGTTTACATGGGCTTAAAAATTGATCAGACACATTAATAGAAGAAAAACCTATGAGGAGTTACCAGAAATACCATTCTGGCACAGAATGTCCCTGAACTGCAAATTGTTGAAGGCTGGAAGAGAATTCTGGAGAAGCCTTACTATGCATTTGACTAATTTTTATACTTTTTCCAAGGGCATTCACTGTTGAAACTTTCAGAGACCAGTTCTTTGGTTTTCTCTGATACAGTACATCTCTTTTTAAGAGCTGTAACTGATACTCTTAAAATTATAATATATGCTTAAGGATATATATTCTTAAAAAATTATAATATATTCTTTAAAACATCCTTTAAAAATTCACTTTTTATACCTCATTGTAGATTTCATTGTAACCTGGAAAGCTGATGGAGAAAATAGTCCTTTAACACATGTTAGAGACAAGAGGGTGATTGGGAGTAGCTGGCATTGATTTACAAACAGGAAATGAGGCTTTATTAACCTGATGGTCTTCTCCAAGTAGCTTGGTGGGTGAAGGCAGAGCAGTAGGTGTTGTTTGTCTCAGCTTTAGTAAGCCTGTTGACATTATATCTGATAACATTCCCCAAACAAGCTGTGAAGGAGGTGTTAGTTTAGTGCACAGGGAGGTGGGTTGAAAACCCAGAGGGTTGTGATTAGTAGCACGTGGTCCAGCTGGAGGCAAAACACCAGAGCTCCTTAGGGTTTTATACTGGGGCCAGCACTGTTTAACGCCTTTATTAACAACCTATAGGACAAGGCAGAGTGCACCCTGTACAACTTTGCAGTTGATACAAATCTGGAAGGAGTGGATGAAATACTGCATGGTTCTGTCATTGTCCAGAGGGATCAGGCTGGAGAAATGAGCCAAGAGGAATCTCAAGAAGTTCAACCAGAGGAATCTACATCCTTCTCCTGTGAGAAGAAATTCTCCAGAATTTCAGCTGCATATTTTGACAGAGAAGTGAGTCATGAATATCAAAATATATTCCTGGATGTAGTTTTCAGGTGTGTCTGCTCTACATGTAAGTGTTGAACTATAACCATAAACACTGAGGCACAAAAGTATTATTTACAAATACTTCAGTAATACCACAATTGTTTTCTACTGTGGTTTTTTTATTACAGTCTGTAGCCCCAAGGCAGCTTCCTGAGATGCTGTAGGACATTCCATGTATGAGTTTGGAGTTAAATACAGAGAGCTTTTCTAGCTGTGGTCACCAGTTCCAGAGACCATGCAAAGATCAGAAATGCACAGCATTAAGGACAGCAAGAGGTTTTCATACAGAACCTCACAGGAAAAAAGAGTTTTCAATCAGTATGAAAATCTTTCCAACAAAAAACTTGCCTTGTCATCCAGGCAATGTGATCTACATGGCAAGACAGAGCAGTTAAAATTAGTATCTGAGAAGTTTAAGCAAACAGACTTTTACTTTCTGAAGCATGGTATGTATGTCACCACATTAGCAAGACTGTTATGAAGAGCTGCAGAAATGGTTGGGAAGATAGATTCTATCCTGATTCAATGTTATTTTTAAAAGAATTACACGGAGAAATTTTAATGCATTTTTTCCTTGTCTTTTTTTTTTTTTTTACCAAGTTTGTAATTAACTTGTTTTATTTTTAATTGAAATGTTCTTGCTAGCTTCTGTTATTTATCAACATCACCGGCTGTGTCATGAGAAATCCCAAAAAAGTACCTGTTACAGCTTGTGTTCCCAGTGCTGGCACTGCAGCAGCAAAACACAGTGGTTTCTTAAATGGTTGTTGCTGTCTATTGCCTGCAGTTTGAAAGTTAGAAGCAGAAGCACTTGCTTCATCTTCCCAAACAATAACTGATCTTTTGGGAGATGGTCTTAATTATTTTTTCAGTGAAAGTCCTGTTGTTCCACACAGCCTCAGGTGTTACCAGCTAGACTGCTACACTGTCCCAAATATAAGTGTGTAGCTTTCAATAAAAGTATAAGGCCTAGGTCTTTATGCCTCCATTTCTTCCTTTTAGTATGGGTGTCTTTCAAAGTAGAAAAGGATAAACAAAATGGCCTGAAGATGCCCAGAAGTTATTTTAGGAAACTCTAAAATTGTATTATTGTTGCTACTGCCCTTCTTCCCTTTCTTTCTCCAGTCTCGCTCTTCTTGTTGCTCAAATTGATGTTCTATGATAGAACACAGAGAAAATTCACTTTATTTTCTAGGATGTATTTCTTTTAATTGTTCCACAAAATGATAACATAAATGTGGCATAAAGAATATTACATTGCCTTTGAATCTACACTAAATGTGTTTGTTTTACCAGATCATTTGATATGTTAGAAGATCTTTCCAGGAAAAAGATGTCTGTACAGACAGCTCATGATTTTCGAGATAAAAATCAATCTGTAGCCATCAGCAGGGATTAAGATAATTTTGCTGAGGATGAGGTAATTTGAACTTCTCATTACGGCTTCAAAGTTGCTTTTTTTCTCATGCTTACTCAATCTGATTTTTATTTTTAACATTTAATATTTTAGTTTACCAGCTATAAAGATTTTGGTTTAAATTCTGTAGGAAATTAATCCTATATGTTTAGATTATACAGAAAGAGGAAAATATTTATGTTTCTATAAACCCTTGCCTGCACGAGTAGCCCATAAAAATGCTTGTGACGCCTGGAAGTTACTGCCAATTACTTTGTGAATGCAAATATAACCAGGAATGCCATTGGGTTAATAACGATCACTGCGTTGCTGGATTTTATAACAATCTAGAACTAGCCTTGGAGGTGTTTTTATAAGAGCCTCCCGACGTCTCCCAGCGTCAGAGCGGCCCTCCGAGCGGCCCCGCCGCCGCCGCCCTCCCCGCGGCCCCGCCCCGCTGCCAACGCCGCTCCGGCTGCCCGAGCTCCGCTGGTTCCGGGACTGGCACGATGGCTCTGCAAGGGGCGGCGGCGGCTGAGGAGCTCGTGTTCTATGTGAATGGCAGGAAGGTAAGTATTGCCCGGAAAGAGCGTGCAGAAAGACGGGCTGCTGTGCCAGAAGGAACCCCGAAGGGTGTGGGCACAGATTTGGCTTCCTCGGACTTCTTCAGGGAAGTATAACTGAATCCTCACACAAGCCTCCAGAACAGACATGGTTGCATCCCATTTTGGCTATTTCTGCTGTTTTTGGGGAAAAAAAGTGCCAAAATGAAACACACTTACAACTGGGTATCAATTTTGGCTGGTAAACAGTCTATTTTTTTCATTTGTATGTGTCTGGCTTCTCATCTTTGATGGTATCAGATTTTCAGAGACGCAACTGAAAGGCAGCCAGACTCTGGTGCCAAAACATGGACTACTGACCATAAAGATAATTTTGCAAGGACTGGTTATTGATCCAAAGCAACTGTAAGGGATTAGCTCATTCTAAGCAACAGAATAAGAAAAGCTCTACTCGATCAAGAATGTAGGCGTTCCTGTTGCTCTCTGTTGTCAGATGATTACAGCAAATGAAAGTTCTTACAAATAAAGCTAGAAAAGAAATTGTTGCTGCTGACAGCCTTAAAAGATCCTTGCAGTGCATCAAAGTGCAGGAAGACTCTAAAATCTGCAAATTATTAGCTCTTCATTCTGTCGCTGTTGTAGCAAAGTTCTGCTGTGTTTTGTGGCCAAAGGTCACTTCACTCAGTGTAGCCTTTCATCAAGCAGCAGTTATTTTTAGTAGTTGCAAGGTGCCCTGACACTTCTTTTCTGGAAATGTATCTGCCTGAGAAGGAATTTCCAGAAGAAGCCCAAACTCTCCTGCAGTGATTGGTAATTAGTTTAATTCTATGAGAGGCAACTAAAGAGTGATTCTCTTCTGGCTTTATGGGAATCTAGTCCTTGCACTGCATTTTGAAAAGCCTTGGTATCTTATTCAAACCTTGTTTTTAATTTCTTACTGCAGATAATAGAGAAAAATGCGGATCCTGAAGAAATGCTGTTGTCTTATCTGCGAAAGAGGCGTATCCTTTTCTTGTCTGTTCCCAAAAGTCACTCATGTGAAAGCCTTATTCCAGAAAATTCTCATAAATTTTAATTCAAGGTTGAATTAGCAGATTAAGGAAGTTGTGTTTCCCCAAAGATAAACAAACCACATTAAATAATGTCTCTTTCTTAATCCAAATACTGTTCAGTTGAGCTACTGATCTTTTAGCCCGGTTTTTTAAACACACATAATTATGCCATCAGGCACGATGGGTATGTGTTTATCTGTGTGCCTCCTCTCTCCCCCATAAAGAAGCCTAAAAATCTTGTGGCCAGTATTCATAAAGCTTGACAGAGTAGAAGTCTCCAAGTTTTGTAATAGTCTCTCTCCCAGGAAAAGACAGATACTGTGATGAGACCCTGAGTCTGATGTGATTTTAAGGGGGAGAAAGACTTTTTGGTGGCTTTGGAATATTATCTGTTTGGTGATTCACAGCTTCAGATTGGCCACTGTTCCAGATTCACAGAAATGAACATTTCTCTCAGAAGTGTGATCTTTCAGATGAGATGCAAGGTTAATATCCTTACTATAAATGGGCCTTCTGGGAAAAACTGGGAGATGGTTTTCAGTGGTCCACTACAATTTCAGGTATACAGGTGGTTTGCCCATTACATGTTACTTCCTTTCATATTTTCACTTGGAAAACTATTTTTCACTTCCTCTTTCTGTTCCAACTTACTCCTCCTCCAAAATAAGTCCAAATCAAGTTTTCTGTTTTCTCGAGAACAGGATTTTGGCCACGTCATTCCTTAACTTCAATCTTATTTTCATTCAAAATTTCAATGCCACATAGAAAGGAGTCTGATTCATATGCTATGATACCAGACTAATCTGAAGTTCCTTAGAGGTTTAGGAAAGAAGGTGAACTCAAGTCTTTGAGCAACATAAAGACCAGAATGGAACCAGACAATTATTTTTCCCTAATGACAGCATTTTCAGTCCGTCTTACAGGAACTAAGTATGGCTGTGGAGGAGGTGGCTGTGGTGCCTGCACAGTGATGATATCGACTTATGAGCCAGTTTCAAAGAAGATACGGTATCCTTAACAGAAAATGTTGGAAACTGCACAGAATTTTATGACTGTAGCTACCATTTCCAGATATGAAACTGTAAAGAGTTGTAAAATATGTACTTAATAAAGTAAAAGAATCTGAAGTAAGGGTTACTTTAATTCAAGAGAATACTGTAAAAAATACTGTTGATTCAGATATGTTGTAAATTTGCTGAAGGATCATACTCAAATGATGGATTGGCTTATATATTCTGACAGCTCCTGCAAGGAGGTTTTGGGAGTCATTACTTTAAGACCTTTGTACTGACCACTGGAATGTGGCTGCTACCTGCAGCTCTGTCTCGTGATTTTACTCCAGCTGGTAACTGAGCACCAGACACTCATTACCCCTGGCAGGATGGAGGGAATGTATTAGAATGTATTAGAAAAACAGAGAATTTTATTTTAATGATTAAGAGCTTTGAAGAATTTTCATTTTGGCATGTTGTTGCTACTTAGTATGATATTTATTTTACATCATCATTTCCTTTGGATGAGAAATTAGATTATAAATTTGTGGCAGTAATTCTTTACTTCCTTCAAATGGCTACACCAATCCTTCCTTCCCCATGTTCCTCCTCCGAAATACAGTTGACAGGTTGCTTGTAGGCAGGAGAAATAAGAGGGCAATTAGAAAGACTGAAGTATTGAGGAAGATTTAAAATCTATGGAACTGTCCTCATAGATACATTTTTTAATACCGAGGACAAGAGACACAGGTAGCAAGTGATCCCTGCTCATTCCAAATGATGATAGTGACTTGATTGACTGAAAAATAGTTCAGATGTTTATTATTATAAAATAATATTAATGTCCTTTATTCTCCTTTATGTTCCAAAGACACTATTCAGCCAATGCATGTTTGCTTCCCATTTGCTCCTTGTATGGTGCAGCAGTGACTACAGTGGAAGGTGTTGGAAGCACAAATACCAGGATTCATCCAGTTCAGGTGAGAGTTACAGTATCACTGTGTAAGAGGATTACTGATTGCTTTTTTGTGGGGACTGGCTTTAGTGGCAGTGCTTTTATGGCAGGGAATTTCATATGATGATTATTTGCCCTGCTAAATGGTAATAGAGGACAAGACGGGTTTCTGATGGTTGACTGATCAAGGCTGATGATATATGGTGGACCTTGCTTTAATACTGACACTGTGATCAAATAGTTGGTATGTAAGGATTGTTGGAATGGATTGGGCTTGTGCTCTGTTTGGGCTAATGGCACATCTTGGACAATGGCCCTTTAGCTGCTCTTTTAGTATAAATGCATAAACAGCAGAAGTCCAATGAGGGTTAGTTAGCTTCCTTAGTGCCTGGGCATCACCCCCAAAATAATTGCTCTTATTTGATATTGCTTAAAGTGTTCTACTTAAAAAGTCTGATTTACTGTGAAGACAAGATTTGGCATAGGGTCTCCATTTCAGAGAGAATTGGTTAGAATGGAGATGAATGCTGGAAGGAGTGCTGTTTGTGGTATTTCATTTCAGGAAAGACTTGCAAAGTGCCATGGCTCCCAGTGTGGTTTCTGCACACCTGGAATGGTGATGTCCATATATGCTTTGCTAAGAAACCACCCAGAACCAACTTCGGAGCAGATGATTGCAGCTCTGGCTGGTAAATATTGCCACTTTTTGTGTGCAGGTGTGTCCCTGATGGATTTTTTCCAACTGCTCTGTGTGTGTGAGTGTCTGTGCGAGTACACACGCATGCATGGATAGATGTACAAACTGTGCTTCTCAGCAGAGTTGCTACTGGATGCAGTCCTTGTTATTCTTTTCTCCCAGAAAACGAAGTATGAAGTTGTAGACTGTTTCAGAGACAGGTGTTCAAAACATCCCCGTATGTGTCTTTTGAAGTGCTTTATATAAAAACCTCATATAAAGACATGACATTATAAAGCCACATGCTTTAGAGCAAGGCTTTTTCTGACTGACTTTCTTTTTTCAGGGAACTTGTGCCGCTGTACTGGATATAGGCCAATCCTAGATGCCTGTAAAACCTTCTGTAAGGTAGGAAGAAGTAGTGATGATAGGATTACTAGACTGGGCCCATTATGTGTGTATACACAGATACATGTGTATACACATATATACATGTATACAAACCATCAGATTTTCCTTAAATTCATCACTTTCCTCTGTTAAGAGATGTAGGTCTGAGTGAGTGACCTAACCCATGAATATCACTGATTAACACAAACATACAGGGTGTCTAGCCTGGATTAGGAAGAGTAATCTGAAATGATTCATGTGGTTTACTGTGGGTTAGTACTGGCATGAATAAAAGCAGAACTTGGATCCACATTCTTTGTAATTTATCCTGTAATGCAACATGTCAGAAGCCCACAGAGAAAGAAATGATAGTGAACATTTTGTAAAGGAAATAATACAGGCCATCTACATGTGCTCTCACAAAGTCAGCTGCATTTCACATAGTATGAATTATTTTGTGTGAAGGACTTCAACATCTGATGATTTGAAATTATTTTTTAATATCACTTCTTTAACAAATAATCCTTCTAATTTGGCTTGTTATTAAGCTTCATCTAGAACTTTACTGAAATATAGTCACTCTCATCAGCTTTAACTCATTGCCATTCTGGGCAATATTTCACTAATGGGATATTCCTATTTTAGGAATCTGTTTGTTGTCAAATGAAAGCAAACGGAAAATGTTGCTTGGATCAGGAAGAAGGTTTGTTTGACAAGGAAGAGAAGGTAAGGTTTTAAGTATTTTACCTATCCCATTTAAATACAAAACTTAGAGAAAGAATATTGCGTAGCTTTTTTTCTTGTAATTGAAGTAAGTGTAGTATACTCTACCATTTTTGTCCTCTACCTTACATAATATTATTTGATAAATGAGATATTCTGTTATTACTCACAAAAATTTTTGAGTATTTGTATGTATGTATTTTGTACATACATTTGGAGTATTTTGTATGCATGTATTTGTATGAGGAGGCAATGATGCGTCAGATAGTTGGTGTAAGGTAGTTTGGATCTCCAGAGGTCAGACTTTTCAGATTCAGTACTATTAATAGTCTGAGCTCTACTCATACAGTGAGAATTAAATTGTGCAACAAATCAGGCCATATGTGAAATTTTCTTAAATCAATGATCAGTGATGATCTGAGTGTAAGCACTGATCTCTTAGGAATCTGACTGCTTGAAGAGCTGATATACTCTAAAAAATCAGATTGTGATTTTATGTGAAATCTCTTTTCCATACAAATATTTCACTTGTTTCTAATTTTTCTTTCAATGATATCTTATCTACTACTTTCAGGTTTGAGTCCTTTAGATTGACATTAAACTAGTTTCTTATAGTAGGACTACAGGAAGCCTGTACTTAGTCCTTCAGTTGCTTGCCTCTGCACTGTCATTTGTGTTAGCAGTGAAATCTAAGAGACTGTTAGGAACACTTCCTTCACCTCAGCAACTCCACATGATGCATGGGAATTTAACAACAAATCCAAATGATAATGGAATTACTAGTTTTCTAGTGACTTCAGTTAGAGCCTCATGGTTTGGTTTTGGTTGGTTTTGTTATTGTTGTTGTATGAAATTAATTTGCTTCTCTTCTGTCTTTGTAAGGTTTCCACCAGCCTGTTTTCAACAGATGAATTCCAGCCCTTAGATCCCACCCAGGAGCTTATATTTCCTCCAGAACTAATGGTAACTTTTGTTGTTTGTAGACTACTTTTTAGCTCTGTGCAGAATTAATTCTTAAGTCCTGGTTAGCAGTAATTCATCAGAAGAAATGTCAAAACATTTTAATGTCAGTTCAAAATTATACTCCTTTTGTTTTTTTCAGTAAGCTCATGGAATATTTACATACCAAAAAAAAAAAAAACGTATTGCGAAAATGAAGTTGCAGAGTTAGGTGTTAGGTGAGAAGACAAAGAAGGAACCTAAACTAGGTTTTCAGTGCAGCACCTGAATTCTTTGCAGCAAAGTTAATTGCAAACACTTTTTAACATTGGCTAAACAATAAGTTTTCCCCATTTTGTGGCTAAATAATTTTGTTAACCTTTTCTGTCAAAACGTCAGGCTCAGCCAGCCAGATCAGGGAGTGTTTAGGCCCAGTGATTAAGGCATGCCAAAGATATAAACAGCTGGAATGGAAAGTGTTAGTAATCCTTAATTATTGATGGCAGTATTTGCCTAGAAAAGGTGAAAGCTGTTTGCTCTACATTATTGTCAGTCTAGAGAGCCAAAGCCAAACACTCTGCACCTGGCTGGCTGCTTGTGGAGAAAGGCTGATAACTGTGAGACAGGAGTTCTTGACTGCATGTTTGTATCACTACCGGTTCACAGGCTATTTCCAAGTGATCCATGAGCAGTGGTAGAACAGCCAGAGACACTCAAACGCATGTGTAATCTAGAAAGGGGTGCTACCTCCAGCCAGTTAAGGAGGTAAACACCTCCCTAAGTATTTTTTATCACTTTTCTAACAGTTTTATCAAGTGCAAGATCTATGCCTACATCTTTTGCTTGGGGATTATTTATTTTCAGTCTTGTTTAGCCCTCTGGAATTACTTGAAGACATATCACCCACACAGTCTAGAATTTCACCACTGTGCAAAGATCCAGCATAACATTTCTGTCCTATTTTTGTCCAGTTTGAAAGGCTTAAGTAGAACTGCCACTGTTTAAGAACATATTTGACATTCAATTCAGACCTCATACCTGTCTGTATGTCTAAATATTTCAATCTGCTGTATTTCCCCATCAGAGAATGGCTGAAAACCAAGCAAAAAGAACTCTTTTTTTTCATGGGGAACGAGTGACATGGATCTCTCCTGTAACCTTGGATGAATTACTGGATCTGAAAGCTGCCCACCCCAAAGCCCCTCTCGTGGTTGGGAACACCAGTGTGGGTATGCATGCAATCAGAATGGCTCCTGTTGCTGGAATTCCAGTGTGCATGGGAGGAGTGGGGCTACATTTGTCATTCTTTTGGCATCTTCATCCTTAAGCTTACACTCCACTATGTTGGAATTTTCATTATGGAAAATATCTCTTCTCTAAGTATATTCCTATCTTGCAGGACCTGAGATGAAATTTAGAGGTGTGTTCCATCCAGTTCTTATTGCTCCTGCAAGGATCCCAGATCTGAATGTGGTGAAATGCACAGATGATGGTCAGTATTATTGTTTATTCAGACATAGGAAATTTCCTTGCAGGAAGGAATGCTGCTCCATTCCATAGTCCTGAAGGTGCAAAGTGCTGTGTAACTCATTCCTAACCATGCTTGGTTCTGTGGCCACCATCCCAGTGCATGATTTGCCTTCACAATGCAGGGCAGTGCTGACCAGCAACATCACCTTGGGCCTGAGTGCAGGGATGACTATTCTGGCTCTGGTGCCAAGTCATGCAGCATTTGCCTTGTGCCCTCTGTGCCAGGCTCTGCTGAACGGCAGAGAGAGACCCATACGAACCACAGGGAGACTGAGCACATGGCGTGCTTGTTCACATAAGAGAAAAGGCTGTGCTTAAACTGGCACAGCTAATATGTATTAACTAATCTACTTCTCAATCATAACAGCAGTGATTATTGCAGATTAAAATTTCTAAGATTAGCATAGAGTTAAGTTAGACTAGGTTTTAGTGTTTAAATAAATTCTAGCGAAAATAGAAATGACAATTAGAAACAGGTTTCAATTTACCATAATAGTCTAAATTAATTAAATATAAAATTAAAATATAAAATTAAATATAAACTGCCAAGGTTTTAAGGAAAATCATATCCTATATCTAATGAAATTACTTGCTATATACCTGAAGACACTTTATGTGATAAACTGTATTTGACAGTTCTGTCATTGCATTTAGAATATCTTTTTTATTTCAATCATCCAATTCTAGTCAAAGATTAGAGGCTTTTTTTAGCTGAGAAATGAAAAGAAGCCAGGAGAATGCTTAATGCTTTTTTTAAATCTATAAATAAGAACCTAAGTATGAGAAGGTGAGACTTACTAGTTCTGAAACAATAGATTTGCAGTTTAGTTTGCTGGCCAGAAATAATATTTCCTTTCTTTAATTAGATTTAAATGCAAAACATGTTTTGATCAAATCTTTGTTTTAAATATACGAAATTTAGTATTGCTTTGCTTGATTTAAAGTACTGTAAATTATATATATATGTTTTACTTATATCTTAATTGAATTCCAGTGTTCATTAAAACCATTAATATTACATAAATAATTATTTTGAACAGAAAGGAACTGACATTTTAAAAAAAATTTTAAAGCATATTCTTACAAAAAATTTATAACTCCTCAAATAAATGCATACAAGTTGTCTTTCTAGTGGGAAAAAAGAATACTATCTTCATTGTTAGGGCTGTTTGGATTTTGTGTTGCCAGTGCTACCTACCCATACCTTAGGAGAAGAACTAGAACGTACATGTGCAAAGCAAAATCAAATTGGGATGAAAATCATGTTTAAAAATAGGAAGAGTGTGTTGAAAGCATTTTGAAGCTGATGAAATAGAAGTAGCTACTAGCTCAGTTTCATCACTTCTAGAGAGTTTAGCCTCAGTCTCCTGAAATGAAAGGTCACAGTCCTTTAATATGAAAAGACCCCTCTCCTTTTATCTGCCTGTATTCCACGTGAGCAGCCCCAGCTCTACCGTCTGTACACACTTTAAAACCCGGGTGACAAAGCAACGCACACCTTACACTTTCATAATCTTTTGGTTACAGGACTAACTCTGGGAGCTGCCTGCAGCCTCTCTCTAGTGAAAGACATCTTGGCAAAAGCAATCTCAGAGTTCCCTGAGGAGAAGACAAAGGTTTTCTGTGCCATCTTGCAGCAATTAAGAACCCTGGGTGGAGAACAGATACGAAACGTTGCTGTATGTTGTGCATTCCTTGCAATAATTTGAAAAGATAGTAGCAAATATGAAATTGGTCCTGATCACATGTAAAACTTGCATTTTTAATTTTGATTTTACTGTGAATTTTCTATGAATACGTCTTTTTTGAACTTTCAATAGGTGTAAATTTATATATAGTGTGCATGTTATGTTGTCCCTTAACATAAAAACATGAAGGTGGTAGAGAAAGGTAACATAAATCTATTTTTTTTCTCAAGTCATTAGGTGGAAACATCATAAGTAGAAAATCAACCTCGGACTTGAATCCTGTTCTGGCAGCCAGCAACTGCATGCTCAATCTGGCTTCAAGAGGTAAGAGGAGATAGCCTGTCTGCAGTAGTGCTAGAGGTACAGGATCCTGCTGTATGGGGGAAGGGGAAATAAAAACAGGTGAGAGTTTAAGGAACCCTTTTCCCACTCTTATACAAGATCACATCTGCAAGAAGCAATTTGCAAGCAAAAAACATGTAAATACTCCCATGTCAAGGGTAAGCATTCAGACCAACCAGATCACAGGTACTTCTGTGGGCAGTAAATTACTGTAAGCACTCATAAAACCTTACAGTTTGAGTCGCTGTGTACCATCTTCTCACCTCCCTGTTAGGTTTTCTTTCCATAATTGTTGCTTTGCCCTGGTTTAAAATCATCCTCTGACCCTGAGAAGACTCTGGCTTTTCATTCCTATAAAGTACTTATTTCTGATGCAGGAACCCCCATGCAGAACCTTTTTCCATGCCCATTTCTTTAGTTTCCTTCCATCTCTGTGTATACATTCCCCTCCTCCTGCTTCTTTTCTTGTGCACTACCTTTAGAAAGCTGATGAAATTATTGGTAAACACAAGCTATCTGGTGACTTGGAATTGCATGCTCTCCCTTCTAGATGGCTTATGTCTTTTTTACCCTGGATCCAGACAGCGAATCTTGCAATTTCAGAACATGTAATATCCAGTTAATACCCTGAAGGATGTGTTCTTTAAGGATTGTTTCTGAGACAGAATTTCTTGGAACAGATACACAAAAAACTTCTGCTGTGTGATTTCTATGACTTCTTCCTGCATATTTTGTCATTGAGAGAAAAACTACCTGTCAGAATGTCATTCTGACAAGTGAAAATACAAACATTTGCATCTTTTCACTCAGCAGTTCTGATGATGTGCCTACTTATTTGAGTGATGAATAGGATAACTGACTGATATCTCTTTCTGTTAACCTGGCAGAAGTTGGCTGCTGGCAGAGGGTTTTAGGCATTTTCACAGGTTTTTAACAGCGTTCTCTACCAATGGTAGTCAGTGAAACACTGGAAAAGTGGATTGCCAAGAAAAGGAGAGTGCAAAAGCACTGTTAGTTGCTTTTTATCTTACATTTATCTTAAATCAGAGTGTAAGAGAAAATGCACCATACTAGATCCTGGCAGGCTCACAGGTGGGATTGGAAAATAATCTTTATATATGTAAACAAGTCTGCTCTGGATGGAATTGCAAAGGCAGAAATCCAGTGCTGCTATTCTTAACAGTGTTATTTTCAGATTCACTCTTCAGCAAAATAAAATTCTCTTAGCAAAGATTTGCTGTCCCACTAGTTATATTTGAGGAATGCAATTTTAATGCTAAATTATATTCTAGGATGAACAGGTTATAGTGTCATCATCAAGCATAACATGAGGAACATGAAGAAAATAATGCTGTAAATCAGCCAGTCATGAAGTATCATGTTCAGTGAATGTGAGGGGAGTTTTGCAATATATGGACCTTTTAAAAAAGGCACAGAGAATTATCTCATTGTAGAAAGTCTTGGGAAAGGTCAGGGCTATTGCATGATAAATACTGTCTATTAATAAGAAATCCTTTATCTAAAATTGCATTAGACCCCTTAGGTAGCACATGAAAAGTACAGAAGACACAGAAGACTAATAAAAAATACACTTTTACTTCATCAGTCAAATACTCATGGTTAAGTTCCACACTGCTGAGTCATTGTGGATTTCCATCTGTACAATGTTCAGGCCTCTGTGTTCTTGCAGAACAGCAATGCTACTTGACAGCTGTGTTGCTGGTACAGTTACAGTCCTACCAACAAAGCTCCTTGAGCCAGTGGAGCTTGTTTAATTAATAGAATCAATTAGATGTGTTAAAATATTGCATCTCTGAAAGACCTGCTAGCTTAACTGTGTAGCAATATTGGCAAACCTAATGTAGCATAGATGAAGTCTAAGTGTTCAAAAGGCTCTTACAGACTTAGGTTCCTTGCAGAATTTTATCCTCTTCCCTTCTGAAAATTTTAACTTTAATAGCGTATATATCATAGAATAACAACTATAGCCAATTTTGGAATAAACTACCAAAAGGAGAAAGGAAAAAGCAATAGCATTTATTCGTTTCTGGACTCCTAGAAATGTTCAGAATCTCAGGGGAAAAACCAAACAGACAATAAAAGAATTAAACCCAAAACCTGAACAACAAAACAATCAATCCCCTGATATTTTTCACTTTTGCAGCAGTTTTCTTGCTCGGTTTTCTTCCTCGTTTTTTTATGTTTTAGAATGAAAGCTAGTGACAACAGCAGCTGCAGAGATTTGGAACAGATTGACCGGAGTGGGGATGGGATCACCATGGCAGCATTGGAAGGGAGGATTACGGAATGGGGATTGACCTCTGGGCACTTTTTTAGGAGTCTGGTGTTATGATGTTATGGAAGATGAACTTGAATTTATAGAACATATCACTGATAATTTTTCATGTACACTCTGCAGTGATTAGTTACTCAGGAAGACCGCGGGTATTTCTTGCCAATTAAAGTATGATTGATATATGTTAATTGTGCAATTGTAGAGAAATTTCTGGATTTGGGATTTTTTTTAGGAAGAAAGCGACAGATTCCTTTGAGTGACATTTTTGCAGATGGAATTGGTAACAATACCATTACACCAGAAGAGATCTTAGTGTCTGTCCATATCCCCCATTCAAGGAAGGTAAGTTATTAGTTTCCTTAGATTTTGCTTTATGCAGAGTTAAAGACTATAAAGAGCAAGAGGGAGCATAATCCTCTCTTTAAACTAGCACTGTTACTGTTCGTGTTCTGAATTCTTTACATTTATTCACTTTCAGTGCCATAATATCTCCCAGTTTCAGCCAAAAAGCACAACTCAGCAGGTAGCTTATGATGATATATAAAGAGTAGCATTCAGACAAAATTTTGCCCTAACGTGATGAGGGCAATAGCAATTGTCTAGACCCTCTTATATAAGGAGGTCTTGGACAAGCTGCCATCGTCCTCACCAGAGCAGGCTGCTCACCTGTGCTATGGCTGGCATCAAGCAGGTAAAGCATTGTCATCTCCTGAGGATTTTTCTTTAAAATGGGATGAGATTGGGAATGTGCGTGGTGGTTCCATAAGTGTTGCTGAACTGAATAGTAACCTTTAACTGACACTGTGTTTGTAAGAGTGGATATGGGATCTTATAAGAGAATTTTGGGTCATGTCATCAGAGTGCTGAAGTTTGGTAACACTTTGAAGCCTCTAAACTTTTGGTGTGTTATTAATACAACTCCACTCTACAAGGTCCCTGTCTTCCAGCTATCTACTGTGATCTGAACTGTGTAGGTGATGGAGGATTGAGTATGATGCTAGAAAATCAAAGACAGTAAAGCTACCGAAAGGTCCTGAGAAGGACGTGTATAGTCTTGAATGCTCAGGAAGCTGAATTTGTAGTCTTCATTTTTTATTCTCTTGTTTCACATAGTGCCATAAAAAGTTCCACTTTCAAATACTTCTACGTCTGTAAATACTTCTACTTCTGTCTGTTCTTGCTCAGGGGGAGTACGTCTCTGCATTTCGACAAGCACCCAGACGTGAAAATGCTCTTGCAATAACCAATGCTGGGATGAGAGTACTTTTTGAAGAAGGTACAGACGTAATAAAGGATTTAAGCATTTTCTATGGAGGTGCTGGGTCAACAACAGTCTGCGCTAAACAAACCTGTTGCACACTTATTGGAAGGTAAAATTTCTCGGCCTTGTCTATGTCTTTGAATAAATGGACTTTGAAACCTTGAGTGTACTGCCTTGGAACAGGAAAGTACTGAAAGATTTCACTTGCCTGATTGATACCTCATATGTTCAAGTGAATGATCTGGCCAAATCTTAACGATGACTTTTCAGCATTGTTATATTTTGGAGTTTGCACATGAAGTGAGATAGGTGGATGGGGTAACATCAGTCAGTTATGCACCTGAACCCAAGTATTGGCAAATGATGCTGGATCCCATACATTTACTAATCCCCTCTTACCAGTGTTCTCGAGTCCCTCAGTTTGGCTCTAAAAGATATAAAATTTGAACACTTCAGATGTGCCCAAAAAAGTTAGAAGTGCAAGTCAAGCCTTCACCTTTCCAATATCTCTTCATTTACAAGATCCAAATAATCTTTGGAATTAGTCCCTGACTGTCCCTCCCAGTTTGCAGCACCTTTACAAGTTTCGGAGGAAAAAACCTGCAAATAATTCAAGCAGTGTAAAACCAACACTAAGTGGAGTCCCACTGGCCTGTTTTACCATTTAATATGCAACTGTTTCACTAGTTGAAGTGCTCATTATTTTTTTATGCTTTACATAATTAAATTTAGTCTAACAGACTAATATTTTCATATCTGGAGTTGTGTAACTATGGAGAATTAACGGTGCTGACATCCTTCAAGAAGATGTTTTCAGGAAATGTAACAACTAATCAGCTGCCTTGAAAGTATCTACAGTTTGCATCGATGTTGTTATCTACTTCTCTTCAAATGTAGGATAGTATCTGCAGAATGGTGATAATCTGCAAGACTGTTAACACAGCTCCAAAGCTGTAATAGGGTTTGTTTAATTATTTATGTTAACTTAAAAAATGCTGGCATAGCATTTAATTCCATTGACATAAGGGAGCTCGGTTCTGTGAGCAGCATTGATCTACACTGTTTTTCAAAATTACAGGCGTTATTTTGGCTTCACTGTGAGCAGAATTATGCCTGTGGTCCATGGTACAAATATATGACTGCAATTTATATTTTTTGTTTTGGTTTGGTTTTGTTCTCTTCTGATTGTATCTATTATTCTTCCTAACAGACACTGGAATGAACAAATGTTGGATGAAGCCTGCAGACTAGTTCTTAAAGAAATTGCTCTTCCAAGCTCAGCCAGTGGTGAAAAAATAGACTATAAGAAAACTTTGATAGTCAGTTTCTTCTACAGATTTTTCCTGGAAATATCACAGTCATTAAAGATAATGGTAAGTTATTTCTCCATGTCTGCTTTTGGGCAAGCAAGTAAAAGGGGTCTTCTTTCTGTCTGTTGGTGCTTACAGTTTGTACAGTTGTCTTTGGGGTTCAGATCTACAGAATAAGGTAACTGTTTTACTCCTAAAGAGATTGCTGGAGAGATGCCCTTTTAACTTCTAGGCACTCAGATCACTTTACCTTGGACATGAGGGTTTTAAAAGACATTTGAGCAATGTTAATGCAACAATATACCAGTACTGAGCTCCCAGGCCCAAAGAAAATACACAGGAGATTTTACTCCATCTGTCTGTAGTTCAAAACATAAATAGATGGTATAGAAAGACAGGCTTTGGAAAACCACTGTGAGTGTTAAACCAACTCTCCTTTTCATATGAGTTGTTGACTGGGAGATGAGGACACTAAAATTTCATTTCCCAGGACATTCGGGGTGTAATTTACTAAGTTTTGTCTTAAATCTGTTCTTAAGAGTTAAAATATCCCTTCTATGTTTTACCTTGAGCTCTTTCCTCTAAATTGCCATTAGCAGGTAATTGACTGTTACCAAGAGTGTAATCAGGAGTGATTCTGTGCCAGTTTTGATTAGATTCCAGAACAAAGCTCCTGTGTCTATCCCTGCTTTATGCTGCTTACTTTAAACAGGCATATTTATTGAATCTAATATATTTTTAAATACTATTTAGTGAAATCTAAAAACTCTACGTTGTTTTAGAATTGTTATTTTAGAGCCTTTCTAGTTTGAGACTGGAATGAATGTCCTGTATAAAGACTTTGTATTTGGTGATTTTGATTGTTAGCATTTTTATCTGGAATGTTCCAAATGTGAGTCTTAGTAGTCATTCACTTTCTTTTCAGGATCCTTGCCGCTATCCTGGCATACCTATGGAATATATGAGCGTCCTTGAGGATTTCAAAACCAGAATGCCCCAGAGTATCCAAATATACCAGGTAAGTGATTTCATTCTAACATTGTTTTGTGCCTTACAAGACTTGGTAAAAAGTCAAGGTTCAAGCATGACCCTTGGTGTGAAGCTTAGGTACAGATTTTCCAAGGGACTGGAGGCAACAGGCTTTTAGTGGTTGATTTTAACTCTATCTCAATTGGAAAATCCTTGTTTGTAAAAACAGACTCATATGGGTATATTCCCTTTTTCTAAACAGTTCTCCAAAGATAAATATGCTGAGCAAACTCTGTTGTGAGACTGCTTGAACCTGTACGTTGCAGTGTGCAAGGCAATTAAAAAATAAAAAAAAAAAATTAGAAAAAGCCAAAAAAGATTGAAAAGCCCAAGTATTGTATTTATACTATAGAATCACTATAGAATTGTTGTTTCAAGATAAGCTTTTTTTAAGATTTCAAGGGGGGCTCTTGGGTCTTACTGCAGTTTTAGGAATTAAGATGAAGTGTGATGGCTGTCTGGTCAAATTAACACGAGTATCCTAAATCAGCACTAGAGAGCAGCAAAGAACACAACTTGTGTCTTCTGAGCTCACCCTTATAACGAGATCATGGTGCAAATGCCCGCAAAGATTTTTGATATTTTAGTACCCTTAATACACAAACAAAAATCTCCAGTTTTTGAAAACCTAAAGAAAAATTCAAAGGAAATCTAAGTACAAAATTTATTTATTTGTTTGTTTGTTTATTTGGGTATTCCTTAGAAAACCTTTAAATACTTTAAATTCGTTCCAGTTGTTATCTTCAGCTTCCTTCAGAGTCATTATTTAAAAAAAAAAGGCACTACAGAAGGGACCAGGACAAAGGAACTAGTTCTTTATGACTTTTAACAAATTATTCCTCAGCTGTAATAAAGTGGTGAAACAACAGAAATTTAAACGATTTGTTATTCAATCAATTGGAACAGAGTAACAAAATTTATAAACCCATAAAATCTGGTTTTTTCCTCTTTAAAATTTTTATCTAGGTTTTGCCAGGTCCTCTGTTGCATCCGGACTCCTTTATCAGAACATCATTAAGCTTTTAAAATTAAGAGTTAAAAATCAACGCATATGCTGAGATCTAAATACTTGGCCATTCTGTTGTGGAAATTTGAAGTGCTTTAGCTGAGTCATCCATTCCAGGAACTTCGGGCACTCAGGTGGAAAGTGTTTGTGTTTGTTCTTGGCCTTGAGCTGATAGCAGGCAGTGTGCCAGACACTGCAGGAGGTAGGAATGTGTAACCAGAACATTTGTGTGCTGGAAGTTTTAGAAGAAAAAATGCTTTAAGTTGTAAGTAATTAAGTAATTCTAGATGCAGAAAAGGAAAAAGTTGGGGCCAATACTAACTCAAGAATTGGGAGAGTGTTCTGGAAGTTGGCAACAATCAGTCGATGTGGCAGAATTAACTGGCAGCACTGAAATAACCTTCAAGAAAAACTTACCAAAATAAGATTAATAAGGCACTGAATTCATACACAGGTGCAAGGAAATAAAAGTGGGAAGAAAATATTTAAATAACATTTTCTCACTGATTTACATTGATCACTTGCAATCTTTCAGTGAGGAAGACAAATTCTAGAAATCACTGCAAATCGCTCAAAACACACCATCAGATACTGCTAAAATTCAGAGCAGAATCTTGTGAGAATAACTGAGAAAATTCTTGAAGCTTAATGACACCATTCAGTAAGAGAGGAAACGGTAAAAGTGCTGGGTTTATCACTTTGATGTAAATAATTAAGGAAAAAAATCCAAGTAGACAAACCTGTGCAGTGCTCTCAAAAGGCTCCTCAAGAAATTGCTGAAACTGAAGAAACCCCCAGGAGCAGCAGTCAGGTCCTGCAGCCACACCTGTTTTCAGTGTTGAACCAGAAGGTGCTAACATGAACAGGTGTTCGCTCATCTGATTTTCTGATTACTGTAAGAATAACACAGCTATTCTTTTTTTAACTGCACAGGATGTAGAGCCCGGTCAGTCCCCCCAGGATCCCGTAGGACGGCCCATTATGCACCAGTCCGGGATCAAGCACTCCACTGGTGAAGCAGTTTACATCGATGACCTTCCTTCTGTGGATGGGGAGCTTTTCCTGGCTGTCGTCACTAGTTCCAGAGCTCATGCCAAGATTGTGTAAGTGTTCCAGTGTATCTGAAGGAAGTGTTGTCATGAATTGCTGTCTGGGATTTTTAGAGCAGACTGTGAGTTATGTGTGTACAGAACGGCAGGCCCGATACCCACACTGCCTTGCATCCTGGAAGCAATATTGTTGCACCTAGTGGAAGGTTCTGTTCGGATTTAAGTGTCTCACCCCATTTTACTGTACAAGTAAGGTTGAACTCTTTCTGATCCATGAGCCAAACGTAGCCACCTCCACAAAGTGCTGAGCTGTGCAGTGCAAACAGACACTGAAATTCAGTTTTGCCAACATGGCTTTGAAATCTCATCTCTATTATGAAAGAAGAAAATTGTTCAAAATGTAGGCAACAGTGTTGCAACATTGCAGCAACAAGGTGGCAAACCTCATATGACCCTTAAAGTAGAGGAAGATGGGGAGGAGGGTTTTAATTTGTAAGAAAACTGTTTTGACTTATGTTTTTAGACTGCCAAGATACACCTATTCTAGCAATTTGTTCAGCGTTCACACACCAAAACACATATTCAGGTGGTCTAGTAAGGATTAATTGTCATGACTGAGAGCACTGGGGCTGTTAGCTACAGAGTCCTTGTCATAGCTCCTGGTTTATTCTTATGTTAGTGATAGTATGCTGGGTTTGGATGTGCTCTTTCTGGTATCATCAAGGAGCTGACATTACCTCTGTCTCTGTGAGTCAGTAGGATTTATTTAGCCTCCTTTGTTTTCTGATCTGGGTTTCCAGAGCAGGTGCCTGTACTTTCGCTGGGATCTGAATGACCTGCTAAACCTAGACCTTCTGCTGTTCTTTCTGCTCCTTCTATACCCATGCATTCCCATTCATTCTGCCTTTAGACTGATCTTGCCATTTGTTTTATAACCCTCTACACAAATCCTCAATTTGTAGATGCTTATTTGTATCTTTTGATATCTATGTAGGCGGTGAAGTCTTAGAAAGTTGCAATTGTAGCACCGTAATTGTGCAGTGATTTTTCCTAATGCAATGGACTTCCAGGCAGTCCAATGGGCCAATGATTTTCCTGTTGCATCTGAAGTATTTCCTAGAAGTGTAGCAGGTTCACAGAATTTTAAATTGTCTTTTACGTGCACTTCTTCACATGCCAGAGACAGAAAGAAAAGATGTGTCTGAACTTATGAGCAGATTCCAGTACTACAAGAAATACACCTCTGTCTTATGTTCCTTCCTCTGTGCAAGAGTTTGTGAAACTGAAGAATTACACTTCTCTCTTCCTAATCAGATCCATAGATACCTCAGAGGCTCTAAAAGGACCAGGTGTGTTTGATATCATAACAGCTCAAGATGTACCAGCTGCAAACGAGTTTTACTATTCTGATGAACCAGAGATTGTATTTGCAAGAAACAAGGTATAACTACAATCTTTGTGTAACTGATATTCTTCATTTTAACTGCTTTTCTTCAGCCTTTTATCCTCTAGTTATACATCTCTACATACTGTATTTTCCTTGATTCTCCAGTTATACTGGCATTTTAATAGTTGATTAGCTTCATGGATGGTTTAAAAATACAGAAGTCCTAAGTCAAAGAAAACGTCTAAAAAGGACACATGGATAGTGGTTACATGAAAGAAGAATATCAGCAGCACATATGGGAATTGTTTGAATCCACTGTTCTATCACATGATGTCTATTTTACAGGTGATTTGTGTGGGTCAGATTGTCTGTGCAGTGGTTGCAGATTCGGTTGTTCATGCCAAACAAGCAGCTGCAAAAGTGAAGATAGAGTATGAAATGCTGGAACCAGTAATTTTAACAATTGAGGTATTAATAATTCTCTTGGTTTTTTATTGTTTGATCTATTTAATTAACAGAAGCAACGGTTCACATTCTTTAGTTACTTTTGAAATACAATTTTTTAAGGAAACAAGGTAAATAAGAACATCCAATTAACCAGTACGAGTGTCTCCCTATAAATAAAGCTTCAACCTTTTGCCTAATTTGACCACTTGTGATAGACAGGCAGCAGTTTCAAAAGTATTAAGGTTCCACAAGTTTCACAATAATACATATTAGAATGCAAACCAAAACCAAACCAAACAAACAAAAAAACCACAGAAAAAAAAAAACCAAAACTCTTTCACTGTTCCTAGTGAGGAAAAAGCAATGAAGATGCTGATTGTTTCAAATTTTTTTGGTAGCTACCAGCTGGTCAGTCAACATATATATATATATTGGCAGTTGAGCTCCTGATTAGTGTAACATTTTTATCTGTTGTCTCCAGCTTGCAAGATAGACATAGGAATTGTTGGGGAAATGTAAAGGGAAAGATGTTAGGGACATAGAACATTTTAGAAATGTAATGTGGGAGTCATAGGGAAAAGTAATATGGGAGTCATAGGGAAAATGGATTTACGCTGGATTTAAGAAGATGACTAGAGGCAAGGAACAAAAGACACATTTGTAGGGAACCAACATTAGTTCTGGTAGTCACTTTACAGCTTGTTTCCATAATGTGTGTGTGGTGTAATGGAACAGCCTTCTGATAGAAAAAAATAGAAGTAGTCTCCTTTGAAAGACTGGCAAATTTTATTAATGTTTCATTAGAAGGAAATCCAATGAAGTCTTACTAGAAATAAAACAAATTGTGCTTTATAAATAGATTGCACTTTTATTTAGTCCTTGTGATTTCTTCCCCTCTTAATGGCATCACTCTTTGGATGATGGGGTTGCGTTCTTATTCTGCATGACAGGAAAGAGCAGGTTGAATAAACTGAATGCATTTCCTTCAGAAACTGCTTTCATCAGTTACATGAGATACACCAGGAAAGAATTGCTGGAACTGACTACACAAACTCATCAGCAATGACAGTAAAGTGATGAAATACAGTTGTTCATGAACTTTGTTGGCTGGTGGCTCAAATCTCTGCAGAGAATGATGTTTGTCCTGAGACTAAAATGCTGCAACAAGTTGAGAACCTTAGAAATACTTTAAAAATCATATTTCTCTGTTTCTCCATTGCAGGAAGCTATAAAGCACAACTCGTTCTTTGAGCCAAAAAGAAAGTTAGAACAAGGAAATGTTGACCAAGCGTTTGAAACCGTTGATCAGATAATTGAAGGTAAACTGCAAAATACATTTGGTGGGAAGTTTTTGATTGTCAGTATTTGGGTTGTCTGTCTGCTCTTCAAGTCCCAGTTCTACCTTTTTTTCATATAGTCACTAGGCCTGAGAAAGCTCTTGGTCACTTAGAAGATGATGTGATTAAACCTAGTGGTCTTGTTGTCCTGCTACTCCATCCAAGCTTTCTGCATCCTCTGTCCTTGAAAAAAGTCACAGAACCATTAAGTTGGAAGGGGGTCATGTAGTCCAACCTCCTGCTTAAACCAGGTCTGGTTAGAGCAGGTTATTAGGGGTCATGTTCAGTCAGGGTTGGAATATCTCCAAAGATTGAGTTAACTCAACTTATGTAGGCATCTGTTTCAATGTTTCACTACCTTCCATACTGATTTTTTTTTCTTATACCTGGCTTGAATTTCTTGTGTTTATTGCCTCTTATCCTTCCATTGTGCATCTCCAAGAACAGTCTGGCTTGCTCTTGTCTACACCCTCCCATTGGGTGGTTATAGGCAGCAATAAGATACCTTTTTAACCCTTCTCCTCTGATGGATGAATAAATCCAGTTCTCTTGGCCTCTTCTTATACGTCCTGGGGTTCAACCCCCCTGATCATCTTGGGGGCTTTCTACTTTACCTGATCCAGTATGTCCATGTTCTGTTTAATTTATCTATGTTTCATTTCTTGCTGTGACCACTTGTAGGCAATATTGTTCTGCTCTTATTCCAGTTCTGTTGATGCTACTGGAACAAGATGATTTTAATCCTACAAGGAGTTTAATTTGTGTTTTTATTTTAGATAATGCTCCTTCACACAAGAAGTGTCAGAGGATTCGACATCGATTACCATAATTTACGTGATGATGAGGTGTTAGTTCTTCTCTGCTTTATTTCTTCTGTCCTTTTCCCTCAGTAACACTCATGATTTTCTCTTTCAATCAGGGGAGATTTGCATTGGGGGACAGAAACACTTTTACATGGAGACTCAGAGTGTTCTCGTTGTCCCAAAAGGAGAGGATAAAGAAATGGATGTGTACGTGTCAACACAGCATCCAGCATTTATTCAGGTAAGACAGAGCGTGCTCTGAGAGAGTAGTTGCACTTGTGACAACAGAGCTTTTAAATTCAGCTTACAAATCCATGTTAACAGTTTAGAAGCTGAAGAAACATGAAATTGTACATTTGGATTGTCCAATAACAGCTGCTTTGTAGTACTGCTGTATTCTGATAAACACTGAGCACTACACTATCAGGATAAGGTTCTTATTTCCCTTTGAACAAAGTACCTCGTGCCCCGCTATTGTAGACATGAAAAACTGTGGAGTGCTCAGGCTCCTCCATCCCCATTAGCTTTGCATTGGGATGAGGAGCAATCAGCTCCCTGCAGTCAGAACCTGCTGGGGCTTTTTCAACTCATAATGGCTCCATGCAGCAGTCTCATAATCATAGATTGGTTTGGGTTTGAAGAAACCTTTAAAGATCATTTAATCCAAACCCCCTGCTATTGATGGGGTTATCTTTCACTGGATAGTTTTTCCAAACCCCATCCAACCTGACCTTGAACACTGCCAGTAATGGGGTGTCCAGGACTTCTCTGGGCAACCTGTTCCAGAGCCTCATTGTAAAAAATTTCTTTTTCATATCCAATGTAAGCCTGCCCTCTTTTAGTTTAAAACCATGGTCCTTTGTCTTTCTCTGTTTCTTGTAAACCCCCTTTATATATTGAAAGGCCACAATAATGTCTTCCTGGAGCTTCTCTTCTCCTGGCTGAGCAACCCCAAGTCTCTTAGTCTTTCCTCGTAGGAGAGGTGTCCTAGCCCTCTGATCATTTTCATGATAGTAAATGGTAGAGTAAAGCCAACATAGCATGTGGCCTACATAGCAACAGCTGTAGTGCATGAGACTGGTGGTATTTCAGGTTCAACACTGGCATTTTGTGTTCAAAGCCCAGTTCAGCTCCTTTTATCATTTCCATTGTTCTTATATTGCCAATAGTCAAGTACCATGAAGAAGCTCGTGTTCGAGAAAATTATTTGAAGCAAGAACATTCCTGACACTAGCAAGACCTGAGATTTTTAAAAACTTATTTTTAAAGATTTTTTTAAATAAAAATACAATTTATCTTAGTAATAAAAATAATAAAAACTGTATACCAATCAATTTTTATTATCCATGACACTTCTTACTGTTTATTTAATGAAATCCAAGGGTATTATTCTTCACTTCTGTCGATGGCCCTTTCACAGTCTTCACGGTAAAGATTTAAATGTGAGCACTGCTGAGTGTTGTTATTCATTCTTTGCTTCCTAACCTAGGGTAGAGGAAAAACTATTCTCATCTGATAAAAAATAGAAACATCTACGGAACCTTTTCCTAGAAAAGGTTTCCTTTTCAAACCTAACTTTTAGGCGTAGTTTGAGTTGGCATAAAATATTAAAATTGGTTTTACAGGAGATAGTAGCTGCAAGTTTAGGTGTTCCAGCCAACAGGATCATGTGCCATGTTAAACGAGTTGGTGGAGCATTTGGTGGCAAAATTCTGAGAGCTGGCTTACTGGCATCAGTTGCTGCAGTGGCAACAAACAAGTAAGTGCAGCACGTGCGTATTCGGGTATGAAAGGAAAATGGGGGGAACAAGTTTTGCTTTTTGGCTAAAATACTTTCTCCTTTCCCAAAGGTGCTAGTCAAAGAGTCATACAGTCCTGATTTCATGTTTTGTAAGACTGTTCGGTGCATTTCTTTGTTTTGTTTTGTTAGACTACTTATCTTAAGCAACTCTAGCCTCAGATGAGTTAGTGGGCTTGAAGAAGTTGGTATTAGGAAAATCTAGAAATATTTGAAAAGACCAGTGCTTTACTGGGGCTTTGTACATACATTAAAACATGACATTAATCATCCAGAGGTGAATTTCACTGACACAGCAGGATGCAGAAGGAAGAGTTTATGAGTGGAATTGCTTTTAAGTACTTCTAGTTTCAGTCAAAATTAGATCTATATATGAGGTATTAAGTTTTTTCTAATACAATTTGAATTAATCTAAGAACATTAACATATAAAGCTCCATCCCCCACCTTCCAAATTTGGAAGGACAATATTGAAAATTAGCTGTCAGGGCATAGTAGCCAAATTGATCTTGTAATCTCAGTGGTTATCTCAATGAATTTATGTTGTTCCTATTGTCATTGTTAGAAAAACAGCTTTTTGTTATTTTTGGACATGTTATTATCTGTGTTTTCAATTAACCAGATAATGCTAAAAGCATAATCTTTTATTGCTTAAACTATCTTTTTTTTATTGTTAGGACCTTATTTTACACATTATGTCCATTTTTTCTGAAGTATCTAGTTTAAATTGTATGTGCATTTCTAGACTGATTTTCATATTTTTATTATCCTTCATGTTTTGGTTTTATTCCAATACTCTGTTTCACTATGAATAGCTAAGAGGTGACTAACACTTAACATTGAAATGTTTTCTTCAGAAGTAGTTTGCACTGAGTTATCTTGTTGGCTTTCAAGAGATGAGATGAAAATTCTGACATGATTGTAAATGTGAAAAATATGAACTCTGGACATGGCTTTAAGCATGTATTTCAGCTTATATAAGTTCCATTTAATCTAAAGGCATGTTTATATGCATGGCTAGATCTGGATACATGACGAATAGCCATAACCATCTTATTAATAACATCCCTTATTTTAACTGAAATTTGACTTTTCTTTTTTTGGGTTTAGAACCAGCAGAGCAGTCCGTCTAATCCTGAGCCGAGGGGATGATATGTTAATCACTGGTGGCCGCCATCCTTTTGTTGCGAAATATAAAGTGAGTGCCACAAGAATTCAGTGAAAAAATACCCACCTATACTCTGTGAAAAACGATTTCAGTGTTAGTGGTTATGGTTCTATTATTGAAAATCAGTATAACCAATTCAATTTTAAAACAAAACTGCTAGCCAGGGAATCAAGAGATAAAGTTGCTGTATAGTCCTTTCTCTGCTTCTGCCTCTGTCTCTTCAGGGTTTTGTTTTGTTTGGTTTTTTTCTAGTTTCTTCATGTCTTTTTCCTTTTATAGCTCTTTCTGTCTTTCTTTCTGGGAGCAGCAAGCTAACCTAGCTCAGACTCCTTCTGCAGTGGTTTATTTTAAACTGTCCATATGGTTAGATTCACATAAAGAAGAAGCTAATTTTTCACAGAAGAAGTGTCATGCAGGAAAACTCCTCCTATGGAGGAAATTAATCTCTTCCCTGCTCATGGTCTGTCATCAGTCATAACTATTCATTAGGATAATTCCTGCCTTCGTTTCCATCTCTACTTGTCATGGAAATTGCACATGCCAGCCATCATAACAGGTTTTGAGTCCAAGTTTCTGCTGAGTTGATAAACTGAAAGATAGATTCCTCTGTTAACAGCACTGAAAGTGCTCTGTTAATAGCACTGCAGCTCCAGCTCGGTGCCTCCAAAGAGGGACCCTGAAGAACAAAATTCCTGGACAATTATACCCTTAGAGTCTAAGTTCCCCACCCCTCATGTGACAGTTCAGACCAAGACTAATATTAATGGTCTGGAGTCTTTGCAGCCTTTATTGGGTTCTTTCATTTTCTCTAACTGGGCCACTTTTCTTATCTCTAAGGTTGCAGCCTCTGCTAGAGATTGTAGCTTCCTTATCTTTCAGCTTTAACTGGCTCTGAGACCTTCTTTTATTTACGTAAATATTCATTTATGTAAAAGTTCAACATATCTAGGTGAAAATTCACAGCTTGCAGCCTAAGGCTTCAGCAAATTTAGCTGCCAGTGCTAAGCAAGTTGTGCTGAACAAGTTCCATATAAGTACTTTACCAAATTGTGTGGCATATTACATAGATAGGTTTTATCTATGTAAGTAAGATGAGGTTTTATAAGATGCTTCCCTAAAACTGAAAACGAGCTGTAGCTCATGTTGAGAATTCAGGAGCTGTTAGTGGCAACAGGTGAAAAGAGGGATGTGAGATAAAGATAACATTTCTTTGTTAATAAAAACAAATTTTATACTCCATCTGCCAGACACTATTCTTACCATTAGAGTGGGATTTGACTTTATGTGCAGTGAACATTCCTAGGTGACACACTTACCAGCTATCTCAGGCAATACACAGGGAGCCACTGGGCACCCCTGCTGCTTCCTTTCCCAATGGGCTGATGTTGCTTATTATATGCTGTAGCTCTGCAGATCACAGATGCCAGGTGGGAAGGCCAATATTTTAGGAACATTCTTTCTTTCTCTCTTGCCCTGTTATAGTTTCAGTGAAAGCTGCCCAGAAATTAATAGTGCAGTCTGATTCTAGCTGTGTGAGCTGTGTTCATTTGTAAAATATGCAAGCACTTAAGAAAAGAATGCCAAAATCTAAATAGATCACTGTTGATCCTTCTAGGTTGGCTTCATGAACGATGGTAGGATCAGAGCTGTGGATACCAAATATTACATTAATGGAGGATGTAGTCCTGATGATTCTGTTTTGGTAAGGATTCTACACTGACAAATCTTACAATATGGAGGATTCATTAGCTGGAAAATTATGAAAGCCAAATTTCCTTGCACATGTACTATTAATCATATAGATTTTTGATGTAGGGACTGTGGGTTGTTGGAAGAATCTACACCAGGTAGTTTAACCTTTCCTTATTGTATTGGGTTTCTACAGCCAGGTTTTGGTAGCCACAATGATGAGGAGCATGTACATTAGTGCAGGTCATGTCAGAACCATCTTTAGATGAAGTTCTACAAGGATGCACTGAAACTGGTGGGACCTAGCAGTGATAACCCCATGAGTAACCTTGCCACCCAACCCAGCTGTAGCTGGCATAACACATGGGATAACAACCTTATTTTGTGGGAGCCAGGCCCAGAGTGAGCCAAGATGCTTGATGCTCATCATAATAACCTGGTTTTGCAGCATGGGAGTTGAATAACAGTAATCTATGCTTGACTTGGTTATTGTTCAGTAACAGTTAATAATGTTTTAACACTCTATGATTGCACCAAGATTGGAATAGACATTTCTGAGAAAAAAACATTTTATAGCTAAGAGTTGTACTATAATAATATATCATCTTCACTCTGATTTATCAGTAACTCTCTAAGGACTGATCAGCTTCATACACATACCTTCTCTGAGGTCCATAAAAGTTGTGATCATTAAAAAAACCTCTTTTTTTATATTCTGCAAACAACAATTCAACTTATATTTCCTCAGTGAAAAGTTATATGGCATTACTCACATACACAGTTATTACAGCAAAATTATCTTCAGTTGTTTCTATGCAGAAATGTTTTAAAGTTTATTGTTTAAAGCTCAGTGGAAACAGCAGGAATAAAGACTTACATTTACCATTCTATTTACCATTGACGAGAGTCAGTGACCTCTTCATGAGGCATCAAACTATTTTTTCAACTCATTTGTTATTTTGATAGTGACTCCTAGAGCCTAATTTGAGGTTTCTAATATGAGATTTTTCCTCTTCATGTGATTTTGTGTTTGTAAAGTAAAATCTCTGCAAGAAAATCTTAAGAACCAGGAGACATTGTAGACTGCAGAACACATGCCTTCTGATGGAGCTAAAGCTTAAGTGTGAATTTCCATAGGATGTGATAATTCAGAATGCTTTCTTCAGTTCCTTTCATAGCCTCTATGTCTTCAAATCTAATCTGCCTATTTTTAGTGTTGTGTGGCTTTTGATATCGAAGTAGGAGCAGAATCAATCATAAAATGGCGTATCTGTTATGTCCTTAACTACTGATGGCACTCAGCTACTACTAACATCAGTTGTGTTCTGTGAGTATCAAAACAAGAACTGAAAACTAATCTGCTGCATGAGAAACGTAAGAACAAAGTCTGTACGTGTGCATGAGTACTCTTACTACCACTGAATGCCAGAAATCCAATTTAAAGTTAATTGTCTCTAGTAAGGTCTTTATATGAAAAGAGGAAGACTTAAATGTGAGTTTGAAAGAAGCACTGTTCTGACATTAAACTAGACCTGTTTGTCCCTTACCTCAGGTTGCAGAAGTATCCTTACTAAAAATGGACAATGCATACAAGATTCCCAACTGGAGGTGCTGGGCTTATGCCTGCAAAACAAACCTGCCATCAAACACGGCATTCCGAGGGTTTGGCTTTCCCCAGTCAGGACTGGTGACAGAAACTTGGATAACGGAAGTTGCAGATAAAACTGGTTTACCACCAGAAAAGGTGATTAACTGCAGGCATCTTCTCTCCTGAAATGAAGCCTCTGCGGTAGGAAAGTTAAACCCCTTTAAATTAGCTCAGTTTTTTTGAAAAAATCTTTTCTAAGTCACAGATTATTTGTGCTAAAATTCATATGTTTTTAAATCAGTGTCTGGTTATTGAGTGAATAGCATGCTCTTAGAAACTGAATCAAACTGGTAACTGTTCAAAAAGCATACAGTGATATTCTTGGTGTCTATTAGTTCCCTCAGATGGTCAGTTTGCTTCTAACAGGATTGTGTGATAGCTGTTGATTTCATTTTTTCAGATTAGGGAAATAAATATGTATAAGGAGAACGAGCAAACACCCTTCAAACAGAAGCTTGATCCACAGAACTTAATACGGTGTTGGAACGAATGTATGGAGAAATCTGCATACTACAGTAGGAAAGCAGCTGTCAGTGAATTTAACAAACAAAATTACTGGAAGAAAAGAGGGCTTGCCATTGTACCAATGAAGTTTCCATTTGGAATGGGCGCACGTTACCTTTCTCAGGTGAATTTCCTTGAAGAATAAGTGAGCTAAACATTTTATCCGTAGAAGATTACAGTTACTTTGTCTCAAGATACAGAACAATTGTGTTATCTTTCAATTTCTAGAAAATGATCATCCTCCTATTGTTTTTTTCCCTGAAGAAGCTTCCCTAGATTGTAGCTCTCTTCAAGCTGAGATCAAAGATGTTTGGTTTTCAGGACTTGGGCAGCTTGGACCCTGCCTACTTAGAGACCACTCCCATCTAGTGTGATACAGTGTTGGAAGAGATGAGTTGAACACTTTTATGGAATATGTTTGAAGACTGATGGCAAAATGTTCATTGAATCAGTTATCCATCCTAGAAATAGCTCTGAGCTTACTCTTTCTGACTATGAGGGTACTATGGGATGCTGTTCTTAAAGACTTAACAAAGACTAAGTTTAAGGAAGAAAAAAGGACAGTAGTTTGTTTGGTTTTGGCATTTCTTTTTAAGGTGAGGGTCCAGTTCTTCTGAAACAAAGAGCATTCTATCAATTGCAAATTAATCATATCAAACCAGCTGTCTCTGTTCCGGATTAAAGTCACAGGGTCTTTGTGGTCTACAGTGCTACTTCCAGCTGAGTCCTGGAGGAAAATCTCATTCAGAATCTTATTGTTGTGTCTAATGCTGACAGCCTGCCCAACTATGCAGCTGAAAAACCTGTGTTGAAGGCTCTCAAACATCAGCGAGAGAGAAAAGGGAACTTGCAGCAATCTGCATGTACAGCCTTTAATGAGGGAGGTCCTTTAGACTATTTTGAAATGATTGAGATACTGTTGCCTGGGGTAGGTTTATTTCAGGACCTAGCAACGGAAAAAGGAGACCTTCAAGGATTTGTATCTTTTTCTTTTGAAGTTCACTGTAGAGGAGGAGCAGCAACTAGCATTCCAAATTTTGCCATCTCTTCAAAAGCACTAAACATATAAACTGAAATATGTTTAAAAACTTTGTCTTTTTTTTTATTCATTAGTTCATCATATAGAACACATTTCTCACTAATCTGATTTTGTTTTTCTTTTTTAGGCTGCTGCACTGGTTCATATTTATACTGATGGGTCTGTGCTTCTGACACATGGTGGAATTGAAATGGGGCAGGGTATTCACACGAAAATGATCCAGGTAACAAAGGATCCAAACAAATATTACCTTGTGCTCTGTCTGTCATGCAGATAAACAGTATAAAAGTTTTCTTTTTGTGTAGTTAGTGTACCAGTAGGACAGTTTCTTTATCAGCAGAGCCACTGATTCTTTGCATTGATAGAGTTAGAAAGCAAAAGTACCTTCATTAAGAGTCATAGAGACAACAGGAAAAGAAACCCAGACTGATTGTTTTTTATTCTTCTAATAGCATGTGAAGAGGCTTATTAGAAATAAGATTTTGGGGGCTGATCCCATAAAACCCATGCTGAAAAGGCAGTCAGTATTGGGATTAGTATATACAGTCAAGGCGAATTACACATTAACACATTACATGTGTTAATGGATAATTGAGTCAGACCTGTAAAGATACTTATTAAGTCAAGAAAAGCTTGGGATCTGGGCTTGCATAATTTGCCCTAAGTCATACAGGGTGTAAGCAGCAAAACCAGGAACGAATGCTGAACTTCAGAGTCTCAGTGCAGAGTTTGAGTACAGCTAAAACACTGCCCTTCTTTTCTGCTTCTTTGTACTGACAAATTGGACAGAGTGATTTCAGCTGGAGATTGGAAGAGAACTTGTGAAACTTTATCTTTCCTGGTATCACTGTCTTCTACCAAGTACTGGAGAATTGTTATAGTGTTTAGATTAGTTCTGTAACAGAGAACACTATGTTGTTCTTCCTGAAACAGGTTGCTAGTCGGGAATTGAACATCCCTATGTCATGTATTCACTTCTGTGAAACGAGCACAACAACTGTTCCCAATGCATGTGCCTCGGTAGGATCTGCAGGGACAGATGTCAATGGCATGGCTGTGAAGGTAAAGAGTGTTATTTAGTTTAGAAAAACACCCTAGTGCTTGCCAAACCTTAGTCACTAGTGGTCCCATAGAAATAAGTTTGTGATTACCAAAATACTGCTGGAGATGGCCAACAAGAAACATGACTCGACAGTTTCTCAGTAATGGTGCTTATGAGTTTTCAGAATATGATCTGAGCTTTCCCAAAAGGGCTTATAGTTGACAAAGTCATTCTTTCATCTGAAAAACTTAACTAAACTAACTTATACATGCAAATCTTGTACCTTGTTCCTGTTTGAAATCTACTGATTTATTCAGACTCCAGCCCCTGTAACTTCACCCTTCATGTTTTATGTCTACACAGTTAAAATGACACCTTCTACCATACTTTTTCAAACTAAGATGACAGTAAAGTACACTAATTAAGTAGTAACTAGTAACTAACTAAGTAGTAACTAGAACATATCTTGAATAGTACCAAATGTATCTGTATTAATTTTGTGTTATATTCTCCTAACTCTCACCAGGATGCTTGCCAAACTCTTCTGAAACGCCTGCAGCCGATCATCAACGAGAACCCAAACGGGACCTGGAATGATTGGGTAAGACATGTGAATCGTACTAAATGTGTTTGAATGCTTGCAGAAACTGTGATGTATGTATTGTAGTCTTTAAGTCTGCTTTAGCCTAATAATCCTGAAGTAAAAAACTCTGGAAACAGGTTATTCCACAAAAAGATGGAGTGCTGTTGCAGGGTAGTCAAGAGAAGATTCTCGGCCAGGCACAAGTGACTATGTGGGAGATAACAACTGGATGTATTGCTAGTGCAGGGTCTAAATATTGCCAGTGCAATATCCAAATAACAAATCTATTACAATGGATTAGACTATAATCTGGTCATGGTCCCTCCTGTTGAGTCATGAGCTTCAAGGAGATCCTCATACTTTCTAAACTTGTCAGAGAAGTCTAGGTGTGCATAGGTGCACTTAGTCTCAGATTTGCTTCTCAGTCTAAGTCTAAAGGGTTATAATATGTTGTGGTGTAACCCCAGCCAGCCACCAAGCACCAGACAGCTGCTCATCACTCCCCCACCAGCGGAATCAGGAAGAGTGAAAGCTGGAAAACTTGTGGGTCAAGTTAAAGACAGTATAATAGTAAAGCAAAAGCTGTGCACACAAGCAAAGGGAAAAACAAGGAATTCTTTCACTACCTCCTGTGGGCATGCAGGTGCTCAGCTGTCTCCAGATGAGCAAGGCCTCATCACACATAACAGTTACTTGGGAAGACAAACAGCATCACGCCAAACATCCCTCCCTTCCTCCTCTTGCCCCCACTGTATATACTGAGCATGATATCATATGGTCTGGAATATCCTTTTGGTCAGTTAGGGTCAGCTGTCCTGGCTGTGTCTCCTCCCAGCTTCCCATGTACCCCCAGCTTCCTCACCATTGGGGGCAATACAAAAAGCAGAAAAGGCCTTGGCTCTGTATAAACACTGCTCAGCAATAACAAAACATCTCTGTATTATCAACCCTGTGTTCAGCAATAATCCAAAACACAGTCCCATACAACCTCTGTGAAGAAAATTAACTCTATCCCAGCCAAACCCAGCACAGGTTTGGCTAGAAATGTACAGATTTGCAGTCTTTGGCCTTGCAGAATCCATAGTAACAGGGAAAAAAAAACAGCCATGTAGCTACTTTAGGATTTTTTCTCTGTATTTAGCCAGATCCTGGGACTTTTTACTCATCCATCCAAAAGTAAGTCTTCTTCATCTTTGAGGTGGACCTACCCTGTAGGCATCCCTGCTGTGGCCAGGGATCCACCCAGATACTACCTGCAGCCTCAGGAGATCCAGTCTCCAGCAGGATTCTGTACCCTCATGCAAACCCATGTGCACCAAGTCAATCACAAACATCTCAACTCTCCCATCTCTGGAATGCATCAATTATGAGAGCATCCAAACAGTTCCTCCAGCAGTTCCCACCGGTGATGATCTGTTAGGACAAGCCACATTGCCCATCAGAGACTGCAGAAAGCATGCAGGGGTGGGAGGTGGAGAGGATGCACATGAAGACCTGGCTATCTTTTGTTACTCTCACAGGTGCTTGGTTTAGATATCTGGGAAACAATCCCCACATTGTGCCTAGTTGGAAAGGAGAGAAAGCTATCTTTGAAGTCACATTTGGAGTCACAGAATTTTTTTATATACAAAAAATATCAGCTTGTGCAATAACATGACCCACCCCAGCTTATCCTCAGAAGTTGTTGCAAAAGATTGTTAGAGTACAGGTGCACAGTGTCAGTTTTTCTATGTAGCCATTCTTTGTTTTACCAAATCAATAAAGAGGAACCTTCTCAACTTCTTCCTTCCGTCTCTCTCCCATATGCAGTATATTACAGAAGGGAGCAGGAATTCTTGTTACCATTACTCTAATATGTAGTTAGTTATAATAGTAGTTACATTTACAGTAGATTAATATAGAAGTAGTGATAAAGTTATTTGTAGAAGTGGCTTCTATCTGATGCCACTTGAAACTGGAATAGAATTTTAGAGCTAGAAACTGAGTTTTGTTTGAAACGCTTTCTTTGCAGCACTAATTTTTAACAGTAACAAGAAATGCTGGCATGCATGTGCTAGCTTGCTGACAGCTATGTATGCAAAGATAATCTCCTAATAAGGACAAAATTAATTTGGATGATTCAGACACACCAAAAGTATTATCAGAAATGGCTGACCTAAGAAAGAATGTTTATATATATCCAGAGAAGTAATCTTACATCTTGCAAGATCAGCAAACCCTACCAAAAACCCCACAAAAACTTCTTGACTTGTAAACTGAGTAAACTTAACGTGAGAATCACTGAAAGGGAATAGATTTGGGACCTCATGCTGCCACTTTTACCGCTCCAGGTGCCCAGCAAACTGCTCTGTCACTTCCCTTATCGGCAAGACAGGGGAAGAAAATAAGATGGAAAAACCCCCACAACTCAGTGGGCAGTTTTCTAAGGAAAAAGTGAAAGGTGACATGTGTGCACATGGTCATGTTACCCAATATAATCACTGACTTATCAACCAGATCTGTTCAGCTGCCAAAGAGAGACCCATTTCTACTGACTGTGAGCAGAAGAATTGAGCAGGGCCCTTTCTGACTATGGCATTACCAGTAATAAAGGTTCTGCAAGAACACCACTGTTTACAGGTCTATTCCTTAATGGTTTACCAAAAGAATTTAGGTTGCTCATTGAAAGTGGGTTTAGTTCTACAGTATTAGGCACCATGTGCAGCTCTAAACATGTTTAACTCAGCTAGTCTTCCTTTCCTTACAATTTTTACAGTTTGGGTTTTTAGTAAACATATGCAAGTAAGTATATATATGTAAATGAAGTAAATATATACATGCATGTTCCTTTGTGACTCCTTCCTTGGTTTACCATAAGCACTGCTCTATTTTACAGATTAAAGAAGCTTTTGAACAGAGTGTGAATCTATCAGCTACTGGCTACTTTAGGTAATATATTTTTGTCCCCTAAAAATGCACAGGTTAGACCAGGACTGACTTCTGAAGATAACCATAGAAGCTCCTGACCCATAGTTCTTTCTAATGGTTCATCTTATGTTTTATGTAATTAATTTATATATCAGGGATTGAAAGAATAAAGTTTAGGTGTTAATTTAGAACAAGCCCTATGTGGACTCTCTAGAAAATATTAAAAGAATGATTTGTGCCATCTTTGCTCCATGATTTGACCATTAGCAAAGCAGAAAGCATCATGAAAGGGCCTGTAACCAGTAGGTGTGCAAAGGGGGATATAGTTTATTTACCAGAGGCTGTATTGCTATAAGCTATTAATACCATTGTACTACTGATTATTTACAATTTTATCCACAAACTGGATCACACCAGTTGCATGACAGGAAGAACAGTGGCAGCATTAAAATATTTATCCAGGACGCACCTCTAATTAGCAACCAGCTGCACCTGTGAAAAAAAAAATGCCCATTTAATTCTAGATCTGAGCCCTAAGGTTATTTCTCTTCAGAGGAAGGAGAGTTTAAAATGTCTGGTTGCGTTTAGCAGAGAAGCTTACAGTGATTTTTTTTTTTAAGTAATTCAGGAATCAGATGCCATGGTTCAGCACTAATTGAAAGCTGGGGGACTTAGGGGGCTCACATGAGAAGTGAGGTTGCTAACTGACACTACTTTTTGGAGTCATTGTTTTGACCTCTCTGCTCCTGGAGCCTCACAAAATTTCTGCTATATATACTCTTATATAGAGATTTATTCACAACCTCATGCTATTGGAGGACACAATAGTCTTAAATACAGTTCCCACTGCACTCTCTCAGAGCAGTCTCATTATTCTTTTTCTTTGAATTCTTTCACTGTGTTTATAAAGAACCAGAAAGGAAAAATTCCTGTGCTCTAACTCAGGTGGGATTCAAAGCAAAGCTTTTCTCTTAGCCTGCTCTCCCTTCACAAGTATTTCCTACTTATCAAAAGCAACTTTTCAGGTCTTCAGGCAGCCTGGAGTAAGTTTGGCACTTTGCAAACCCAGACATATTTAAAACACCAAGAAATGCCCAAATAAAATGTCCATTCTTGCTGTTAAGTCTGTTCAAATGTGTTTTCTGCTTATGAAACCCTTTAGGAATGTTGATATCATCAAAGTAATGAACAACAGTCATACTTGGCTATTGACATTTAATGGTGTCCAAAAATATCTGCAGATCCCTGAGCCTCAGATCCTGTATTGATCTTGTTCTTATCCAGTCATATTCTCTACATCCAAGAACCTCCAAGGCAGCAGAGGCAGATGGGCTATGAGAAACTGAATATGGGGATTCTGTGTATCTCTTTTTCAATGCATGGTTCTATTCTATAACTCCTTTATGTGGTATAATTTTAAATATGCTCATCAAAGACATTTCAGTCATATGTGGCAGGAAAATACACCTTAGTCCCACAGCTCACATAGTTGGGAGATACCACATTTCACTGTCCTCTTGTGTACCTTGGATTTACCCTGTCAATCCTGACTACTCTGGTCTCCTCACTTAGTCCCACTCCCTTCTAAATAATTACACCTTCACTTCAATAATCCAGTTTTGACCATCTCACTCATTCTGTAGGCTGTTTCTGTAATTAATTCTTTAATTTATCTCTTGTAAATTATTCTTTCATAGGTCCTGACAGGTTTTCCTCCCATTTTCTAAATTCCCTTATGTGCTATTACCTCAGCAACCATTACCTTAAATTTTTGCTCTGTATTTGATTACTGCACTTTTATTAGTATATTTCTATGATTATGTTGATTATAGACTCTCCTGAACTGAAATTGCTTGCTTGTCTGCTAAATTTTATATAAATAGCAGATGCATCAAACCTAAACTACTAGTTCTCTGTAGGATTTCATGGAACTTTGGAGTTCTGACCTGTTATTTCTCTGAAGATTTTATGCTTAAGATCTTAATACTTAGGATTCCACAAGTAGTTTTAAACTTTTAAGTGGTCATCTGCTTTGTTATAATGCAAACTGTCATCAGTTTTCTTCTTATGGACTTTGTTTCTTCCATCAGAGGTTACGATGAACACATGGATTGGGAGAAAGGGGAAGGACAACCATTCTCGTATTTTCTTTTTGGAGCTGCTTGTTCAGAGGTTGAAATCAACTGTCTGACAGGAGATCACAAGGTAATAACTGAGTGTCGTGGAAGTTTTGTAAATGAGGCTTGCTCCAGCAACAGTTCAGGCTTTGCATTCATAAGTGACCCATCTTCACGTGATAGTAAATATATCAACAGTGTAAATGCGCATTCCAGTGGAGCACAGTGAAAGCTGTGCAGTGTTAAGCAGCTTCTGGCACATCTGTACTAATGTCATATGTGTTTACCTTTCGGGTTATGGCTGACAACTAACATGTTCTTTGCCTGTTTTCTCCTTGTTTGCCAGCAAACAACTTACAGCACTATTCAGTTTCCAAACTTTTGATCATTTGGATAGATAAATCTCATAGATTTACCTCTATCTGTACTACATGTGTATTTATATAGAGATTTCCTTGTGCAATGGGAAGAATCTGGCAGGGCTGTCTCTGGCTAAACTTCTGTTAAAGTTGAGACGAGCCCATTTTGCTTGTAATGGAATACTGGAAATTATTTTGAAATTGTGTTCATGGAGGGGCCTCTATCTTAGTATATGTTATTTCACTGAATATCAACTCTAACCCACGTTGTCTTCTAATGCCTCCACTCCATGTATCTCTCTCAATAATATAAATTTGAATTTTATTAACAGAATCTCAGAACAGACATTGTTATGGACATTGGATGCAGCATAAATCCAGCTGTGGATATAGGACAGGTATGTGCCAAGAATTGTCTGCTGCCTTATTTCTGTTACATTGATATCCTTATCTGAAGTGAAGATTACCTCATTAGTTCAGAAAGCATTAATTTCTTAGTAGATTATAAATCTTAGATTATACTAGAGGGTCTTTTGCTTATAGACTTGCCCCACCTGAGTTAGTGTCAGAGCTTTGTAGATGTCAATGAAGCTTGAATTTTAGCAATAAAGTCAACATGTAATGTGTGTATATGCCTGTTATCTACTGGACTTAAATCTCCAAGTTGTGTGACCTGCCTTCTCCACCTGATAGCAGGGATTCATTATTCATTGCAGGCTGGTCCACAGATCTCATCACTTCATCCTGAAAGCATTGTCCTCTCAGGTATGAGAGAGGAGTGTGAACGTTTTCTTGTCACAGCTACTCCAAAATGTTGAAGAATTACATTAGTCAAAGAGAAAAGAAAAAGGCTTTCTAACAGATGGTGAAACAAATCAGTTCTTGACAAAGTTTTACCCACTGAACCAAACACAAGTACTAAATGCTATTTCTTTTCTTATTTAAAGATTGAAGGTGCTTTTGTTCAAGGCATTGGACTGTACACAATGGAGGAATTAAAGTACTCTCCAGAAGGAGCCCTCTATACTCGGGGCCCAGATCAGTATAAGATCCCTGCTGTTTGTGATATTCCAGAACAGTTTAGTGTTTCCCTGCTGTCATCTTCCCACAATCCTTATGCCATCTATGCGTCCAAGGTAAGCAAAACATCACAGGGCCTAATTTTAGATCCCAGAACAAACAGAGAAATTACTCTGATATAAAACATGTATAAGTTTTCAGTTCCTCTTCTTTAGCATTTCAAACAAGTATCCAGTAAATTGTTTTATTTATGACATCAGGAAAACTAATAAGAAAAGACATAATGGGAGATATTGTTGCATCACTTTCACAGTTGGCAATTTCCATCTGTTCCAAGTGTTAGGTATGCTTTTAGAACACAGTAAAATGAAATAGCACAATAGAAGGAAAAAACGTATTTTACAGCAAAATTTATTAAAGAACAAAAATATTATTATAGAATATTATTAAAGATCCTTCAAAATTATTTAAAGCTGTCTTAGTTTGAAAAAAAATCATCTAGGTGAAGGAGTAACATAGTTGATTGGGAGCAGATCTAGAGAGCTGATACTAATATCCTTCTTCAAACAGACTTTTTATCCTTTTCTGTGAACTTATCTCCAATAATTACCCTTAAAATTCACTGTAGGAGGGGATGATTCTATCTTCATGCAGCATGTGTGGGGAAAATATTTGGTTCTCTGATTTTAGCAAAAAGATATATAGGATTTAATTACAATATCCCAATGCAGTTTGGATTAAAATGTTCAATGCCACAACATTGAGAGGACTATGGAATAAGGGTGGATTTGACCTGTCTTTGAGGTAAGAAACAAATGTGAATCTTCTGGTAGAACTTGTGAGGGATGTCAAACCCACTGAGATCAGTAGTATTTGTCCACAGGGAATTACCAAGAGTTCAAGCTTTGTTCCTTAGTTTTAGCTGTACCTGGGTTTGGATGGTTTTGATGTTATCTGGTAGTTATTCTAAATTTAAGTTTAACAGTGAGCCTAAAGGATTCTAAAACAATGGCTGACACTTCAAATCCACCTTTTTAGCACACTTCAGAAGGCTTGGTGTGAGCTAACTTTGCTTCCTCTAAAACTAAAATAAACTTCCTTACTGAAGGATGAAGCACTTCTCGAGTGACTGGTTTTAAACTTTTTAGTTCATTTTCATCTGGCATGTACTCCTCCCATTTTCTCAAAACCTACACCTAAATGATTTTTTTTTCCTTTTCAGGGAATAGGTGAGGCAGGATTTTTCTTGGGATGCTCTGTGTTCTTCGCTTTGAGAGATGCAATAACCAGTGTGAGGAATGAAAGAGGACTGAAGAAGCCCTTTGCACTGAACAGCCCTCTGACCGCTGAGCAAATACGGGCAAGCTGCGCTGATGACTTCACTGAGCTGGTAATTGAGGGCTGTGGGCAGGGTCTATTTAACTGTTGCTGGGTACAAGTGTGTACAAGTGCACCCTTGAGTGCTGCAGTGCCTCATATGTCTCCAATTGGTCATGCTTTGTATACAGCTCCTTGTAACTGAAATGCTTAGTAACAGGTCTCACACATGTTATTTTAACAAATGCCATTCAAACATTGTACTGGAATTTCCCTGGTTGTGAATAATTTTTTTTGCCTTTGAATTTTATATAAGTTTTACAACTCCCTCTTTTTCTGAGGGCTCCTCCTTTCTTCTGTATGTCAAATTCCACAGAAGACTAAATAGTTCATCTTATTGACATGAAGCAGTTCAACCTTCAAGCATCTTCAGTCTCTTTCCAGGTGCTTTGCCCCACTGACTTGAGCACTCTGGCACTGTCATCTCATTCTGGTGCTCCTTGCTATGCCCAGTACTCTGGGAGAGAAATAATCAACTCAGAGCTAACAAAAAGATACAGAAGAAGAAAAATGAGGCAATGCAGTTCTCACACTCTTGGTTCTTTGAGGTTTCTGCAACTGCTCACTGTAGTCATGTTCCCACTGCTATTACAATTCTTTTTCTGTGCAATTTTTTATTTAGTGAGGCAAGGTCCTTGTCAGCATATAAATTCATGCTGCACCCTGAACCTCTGAGGCTTTGCTATGGAAACTCTTGAGCTCTCATTCACAGATTACTCCCATAGTATTTCTGTGATTGTGGTGAGGCACCACTGGCCCCTGAGTCAGTCGGTTTGTGGGCTTACTGTCTTTGCAGGAACTGGCAGGAGGTGAGGTCCCCCAGTGCAGGGACCTTCTCCATCTCTGTTTAGCCCTGCCCCCTGTTATTACTGACCTTCCTTCCAGCCACCCTGTGTAGGTGTCTCCTATATAATACCCTGCTGAGTGACTTGGAAGCAGCTGATAAGGGCAATACTGGGAGTTTGCCAGTCAAGTAAAGTCACTCTTGTCATTTCTTGCTTGTCTCTTAGATGGCAAACAATGAAGCTGCATCCTCCGCTCTTCAGGCCACATCTGTGTGAATGACAAAGACCGGAATGGAAAACTGATTTGCTGCTCCAAGACACACTAACCAACACACAGATACATATGTTTTCTCATTTTCATATTTTCAGAATAGAATCAGCTACCAAAAATTTGCACTTTATGTCTTCTATCCTTACCTTCATTCTTCCTCCAGTATATTACTGTATTTCACTTAAATCACTGCATTTAGTTGCAAGAAATACATCTTCTCCATTTGAAGGATATATATTCAACACGAAAGGTCTACTGAACAGCACAACTCAAATGCTGTAGGAAAGCAAAATTAAGATGAAGTATAAAGGTACACTAGGTAACTTATTGTGACTTATTACACCCAGTCACTTCATATGATAAATGATTTTGTAATGGCTTCAGCTAATTTTCTAATATACATCTGAGTCTTGCAGTGGAGTGTGAGCACAGAGATCTTTGTCGAAGACTCAGAACTTATTGGATTCAGTCCCTTTTTGATCAGAGGTGATGCTCTAACTTGTAGTAAAGCTACTTTAGATTCTTTTGGCACAGACATCTTTGTGTCAAGAGCACGCAAGAACCAAGAGTGATGATTCTCTTTCGCTGTGCCAGGCAAGTTGACCTACATATATAGGACATGAATTTTATTCCAAAAGTTGGCAGTCGCTTCATTGTAATTTCCACCAGAAGCTTTCTTTTTCTCACGGGGCAAGCCAAGAGCCTCTGAACTTAATGGAAAAACTGTCATGGAGTTCAGTGTGCTTTGAATGGGAGACTGGATAAACCTGTCTCTGGAAAGGATTCTTAACTAGTGCTTAGTCCTGTACTTAGGAGTGTATTAAGCCATGAAAGCACAGTTAAGAGCTTTCTCCCACTCTTGGCCACTCCTGAAAGAAAGAAAATAGAAAAAACCATAATGAGATCCAAAGACGTTCTGCAAAGATCAATCATCTAATGCTGTCATCATGCAATGGGATTAGGCCACACCCGAGCAGCAGCACCTGGAGAAAATAGGAAAATATAAAGCAACACTGTGTCAAATAGTAACAAAAATTCTGGTGTTAATACATTTGAAGTATGTTAATGGTCATAACCTATGGTGAGACCAAGAAATAACTTTCAAGTTATGAAAGCTCCAGTCACAATATTCAGTTTTCAGCATCAGAATCCAAAATACTGAACTCATTGAAAACTTTGGCCTTTCCTGCTCTTTGAGTGCAAAGGCAAGATTTCAGTTCTGAATGTGCATACACACAAATACACAAATCTCCATGGCATTTGCACTTGAGGCTTTGATCTGGGGTGCATCCTTGCATAGGCAAAACACTTCACTTTTTTAGTGAGTCTACTAAAGTTACCTAAAGTAGCACCTGAAAAATTGCAGCAGATTCTTTAAAAATAAAGCAGAAATGGGAAAATCAGTAGTTTATATGTTCACTGTGTGGTTTCAGTGAACTCTGCATCAGTTATTCCTTGCTAAGCATGGGTATTGCTCTTCCACTCACAGGTCACCTTGCTCCAACACTATGATGACTGCCATTTCTACTGGAAGTAAATGGCTTTAATTCGTTTGACATGTCAGCCTGCAGGCTCTTATTATTTCACTGCCTCTCAGTTTTCCACAATTTTTCTTCTTGCCTTATGTCCCTTTTACAAGTTGATACTGTATCTGTGACAGAAATCAAGTCAGTAGCTTAAAACAGCTTTTGCATTGACTACTAAGGTATGAAATCGTTATTGCTTCAATTTGTCTCTCTGTAACCACTGAGTAGGTGAAATGCAGCTGCTTAAACATAGCTGTCCAAACCGTCTTAGATATGATCAGACAGCAGAGGCAGAGGAGAGCACAGGACTGGAAGATATGATATAGCAACTGGAGGTCAAGCAGGTAATAATCATCTGAAGTGCCACTGAAAGTGTGATTTAGGCAACTGAAGCCTTATTGGTTTTTACTTCTTTTTCTTCACTTTCTTTGTATTACTTTGGCTTTTATTTATTGTTAGAAGATCAATAAATCAAATTAAATGTGAATGCTGCTGCCACAATTCGTTTTTCTGATTTGAAACATCTTCTTAGTTTCACTGTGCAGGTTTGTCAATGACAGTTCCCAACCCCACATGTCAATAACAGCCAAAAAATACGTATAAACTCTGGAATATGCTGAAGCAGGGAGCCCATAGGTCTGCTGAACTGGGGGGAAGCTACATTTTCTATTGTTATCCTATGTATCAACACAGGTGCTGGTTAGTTCCAGACAAGTCAAATCTTCCAAAATCATTGCCCAACCTTCACAGGCAACACTTGCAGTGCTGAGAGGTTTGCACTCCAAGGACTCATCATGTTCTAAACCAGCACTTTGTTGTTTGCAGTGCAGATCTTGTCTGCTTGTCAGTATTTCAGTCATTAGTAACAAAGGTTCCTCCCTGCCTCTTTACAAGTGGCACTGTTGTCCAGTTGTCTTAGTAAATTCTATACATGTAGCAAATATGGGTCATTGTTTATTTTGGGTCCAAACATATAAAGCTGTTTGCTGGCTTTTAGGTGTTTGAAAAACTGCATGGAAGCTAGAAATATCAGCAATTAACCATCCTGGTACATGATACTATAGCTGCATGGGATATTATGAAAGGAATTTTCTTGGACTATACTGGGAGATAAATAAGCAGAAATGTTGGGGCTCCAAAAGCACTGACATACTGGATGGGTATTGACACATTATTGTGCACTGTAACTGCACAGTTACACCCAAACTGGAGATGGTTGAGAAGAACCCTTTCTACTAATTTTCTTCATGAGAGAAGTGTTTCTATAACCGTTCACCCTCAGCAGTCCCATTCTGTGTGGTGTAAGCTTAAACACCTAATATAAATACTAGGTTCTGGTTTGGAGAGTTAGTAGTCTCTAAATAGATACTGTTCTGCCAAAATCAAGTATTTGGTCTGGTTCTTTCTGTTCTCAGGCCTTTGAACTGCATTGTCACACCTGCACCACATGGAATACCACACCGGTGCTGCAGCTGGCAGGACCCATCTGCCTGCAGGGACCTGGTGACTGACATGGCTTCAGTGCTTGTGTTGTTGCAGCTCTCGGGCATAGATGAGGGGCTCAAACACAAAAGCACAGCATATCTCTGCTGAGAATAATTTTTTCTGCCTTCTATTGGGGAGTGTAAGAAGGACTGACTTCTTTGTCCTGCAAGCCTACACTGACTCTGAATGAAATGCTGACACCTTAGCTGGAAAATGTGAAAAAGGCAAATGAAACAGAAGACAAATACATAAATGGAGGTTTTTGAAAGACATATACATAATTCCCCTTTAAAAAGAAAAAGAAGAACAGCTGTAATAAGGCATTTAAAGATTAATGACCTTGTTTCTTGGACATGCACACAGAGAAATGGATGAGAATCTAGAACTCCAAATCAGTATTTGGGATTTCTCTCTTTAAGGACACGGCAGTCAGGGCATAGAGCTGGCATGGCACAGAGACAACCAGAAGGAAATTTTAAATGTGTGTATAGTAGTAATGTTGATTTCATTACAACTTGGTCACTTTGAAGATAAAAAATTATAGATAGTTCGGGTCAAGCTAACTGAGAACCACAGCTCCACAGCTTTGCATCTGACACCCCCCAGAAATGGGTAATATTGCTTGTCCTGGGTTCTTGCATCACACATGCCTATGTATTCTAAATTCACTGGATAGTGTGAAATAAAGAGGCCTGGCAGCTTTAACTCAGACCAGAAGTACCCACTTGCAGTTATCTCTTAGGTTACAGTTTGAATTAGAGGGGCTCAGATTCATCCCAGATTATTTCAAGTCGCCAGGAAAGAGCTGGGGTGGGGAGTAGGAGGTGGAGTGTTGGCATCTGACCATGCTTTAGTTGTTGAAAAACAATATACAGTGCACTGGCTCCTCCCCACCTGCTTATTTTGAGACTGAGCATCAAATTAAACTTTTCAGGACAAGGCAAACTCAGCCGACCTTGGGGACCATATAGCATTTAATTAATTTCTCTTGATGTGTAAAGCTTTATTTTTCAGATTTTGATGCAACAGCATGACTCACCCTCAACAATCAGATGAACTTGTCTTTTTTGTGAATGGCAGGAAGGTAAGTTTCTAAATGTTTTTTCTTTTCTGAACAGCATGGCTTTAATATTTACTGTTCACAGTCAGGAAACTGTTATTATGGAGCAACAGTTTATTCATGGATAATTGTCTCTTGTCTTTGATTTTCCTAATAATATCCTGCTTTCTCCCATGGTTTTCACTGAATGTGAGTGACTTTGTATCACTTCTCATAATACAGATTTTTAGAATTAAAAATAGTTATCTGTTTACTAAAATTTTTTATTAATGCACTCCTAAAGTTGATGTAGTTGAAGTAAGTGCCTGTCTAGTAAAAGAATATGCAGATTACTAATGCAATTTCAGTAATTCACTCAAGGAAGAGAGGTAGCTAATTTTTTTCTGTTCTTGATGCCAAAAGCTCGCATTTCATTTTCTAAGACATTTTGTCACGTTTTCTTACTTAGCAGGTCAAGTGAATTAGAAGTTCTATTAGCAAAAATGTCACACAAAATATAATATAAACTAAAAGGAGGGAAATTTATTTGTTTGTTAAAAGAACCAGATCAGCTAACCGACCTTGCCATCTGTTTTTCTAGAGATATTTTTCAGTTGTTTGGTCAACACTCTTATACTCTAGAGAGATGGTACTGGCTTTTATTTGACCAGGTGAATTAAGGAAAAGTGCTTCAGCCTCTTTCTGTCTGTTATGTTTTATCTGTCATTACATGCCAACTGAGCTTAAAGACATACCCTGAAACCTTATTTCACTCCACATTTCTGCATAAATTCCTGAACTAGTCCATGTTGGTTTGCACCTGGTAAATTGGAGCATGCTGCTGATAAAGCAGAATTGTTGAGAGAAGCCTGAGGTTCAATCTCTGGTCATTCTGCAGCAATGGGTCCTAACACTTTTTTTCAAAGTTGTTTGTGTTTTCTTGTCTCCACCAAGTTCAAACGTGCTGATGGTACAGCAACATTCTTGAGACAAGGCTGAAGCAAGGTCTGCATAAACCCACTCATACACATTAAACTTCATTAGATTGAAAATATACTTAGATATGTATCCTTCTTGCTCTTCTTACACTGAGATCTTCCTCTGCTGTTATGCTAAGGGGTCTCTGCAATTGAAGGGGTTAATATCAACTTCAAGGAGGTAAAATTACACAGAATTTTCGCATGCACAATCCATGGATTTAAAATGAAGGGGTTTCTCATTCACACTGTTAGGAATCAACAAAGGATCAAGGCCAAACACACTTTTCCTTCTATTCTTGTCTCTTCAAGTGCTTACTTAACCTCTCTTCCCTTTCAGTTCTCTGAGCAAGCAATTATTTAACATATCTGACCAACATTGTCTGACCCGTTCATTTATTCATCTGCAGATTATGATCAAGTGACAGCATCCTGTTGCTAAACAAACGCTCCACACTAATCCTCAATCACTGCATTTCAACATCATAGTTAATCCCTGTGAGATGATTATATTAGATTCCTCTCTAACCTATAATCTCTTTTTTTTTTTTTTTGTAATTTCATAACATAGGTAATAGAAAGGCAGGCAGAGCCTGAAGAATTGCTGCTGTATTATCTAAGAAAGAAGCATATCCTTTTTTTGAACTTTGCCTTTGAGTTCTATAAGTCTGAAAATTATGCAATTTAGGATTAAGATTGTTTCACTTTTCTTTGGGAACCAGTGGAAACAGAACAATAAGTAGAAATAACAAAATTTGCCTTGCATTTGTCCTCAGCAGAGCAATCCAGTGCTGCATGTGCACTGTGTGTGCTAGTTATACAGGTATAACGTTGTCCTTCAGAGAGTTTTATATAAGCTCATTTTATTATCTTATTACTTTTATTTTGTCATTTGAGGCTCTTCAGGTTGCTAACTGCTGTCAGGACTCTGTTGACAGTTATCCCAGCTGAGAAGTTGCTATGCAGCTTCTAAAGTTAAGCAAGTGAAGGGAAATGATGAAAGGAAATGGCAGATTCCACTGGACTGCAGGGCACTGCAAGAAGATGTGGTTTGAGTGTGGAGCCTTCGTGCTGGGGCACATAATGGAAGGAGTCCTTCCAGGCAGGGTTTAGGTGTGTGCACCTGGGTTCTGTGCTCCATTTAAAATCACTGTTCCCCTTGGATGTTCTGGAAGCAGCTCTGGAAACGCACTGAGATCTGCTGATACCGTTTTGCAAACACAAGATACAGACAATTTTGTGCACTGATTAGGAAAGTGCTGTGAGTAAGGCTAATAAGAAAGCCTATTGCTGTATTTACTCAACCCATCCCTCTTACAGGGGAGTACCCTCCAGTTCTACACATGCAGATAACACAAGGGAAACTCAGAAGAACATAAAGAAAAAATATCTTTTGAATGTGGTAATTTTTTTCTTTAACAGTCTCCTTTGCAGTCCGTCTTTCAGGTACAAAATATGGCTGTGGAGTAGGAGGCTGTGGTGCCTGCACTGTGATGATATCCACGTATGATCCTGTTGCCAAGCTGATACAGTATCCTGGTGCTGATATTTGAAAACAGTAATTTAGGGTCTTGAGAAAACTGACATTCACTGGGAAATTACAGGGTTGACCTCCTGATGACACAGTAACAGAGATTTAGATCCTCTCCAATATTTGAAAAAAAACCAAACCAAAACAAAAAACAAATCAAAACAAAAACTCAACACCAAAACCCCTAGTTTTCTGGGAAAATGATGTTTTAGACTGAGTTCTTTATGATTTGAGATTTCAACAGGCCTTTTGTCATCTGCCTCTCCTAAGTCCTTTGTGCTTATTTGAGGCTATGCCACTTCTAATAAACCCTCACTATGTGTTTCACATAATCACTGATAAAATCTCCAAGGACTTCAGCAATAGACTGAAGTTCTGCCTTATCTCTCCCTGGCCCTGACTCTTGAAACTTTGTTCCATTAGAAGTGCTGTGCCAGACTTCCATCACA